CATGTCCAGTATCGTGCATTTTTTTCCCGTTCCGTCAACATGCTGCCAATGGCTATACAAGGGACCTTTTTTCTTGTCCAGTCCATCTTGCCCTTGCAACAAGACGAAAAAAGGCTGGAAAAACCTGAGGAACTTCATTGGCCAGATTAAAAACAGATTCTTATCAATGAGCCAGTGTCCTACACACCGAGTCAGAACCCACCGAGCCAGCGGTTTACCCACAGAGGTGGGTCTTTACCCACTGAGACATTGTCTTACCAACTGAGCTGGTGGCTTAACCCCTGAGCCGATGGCTTATCCACAGAGCTGGCACCTCATGTACTGAGCCACTTTCGTTTTCGTTCTGCTCTTGTATTGCACATAAAAATGCCTTCCTGGCTAGGCACAGATTTGACCTTTAATTGATGAATGCCATTATTTAAAGTTAACCTAGATATCATGTCTTAGTAAATCGTTTTTCATTCCAGGTTTCTGCTTACACTAAACCTGATCAAGCGATAGAATCTGTCAGTTTTGATACGTTGCTTAAAGAAGCGGAGGTGTTGAAGAAAGCTGCCGAGGATGCAGGAGAAAACGTTACAGCTACTACAGCTGAGGGAACTGATTCAGAAACTGAGACCAGTGACACAGATGTTGAAATGAAGGAAGAAGTAACAGATTCACAGGCTAAGAAGAAATATCCTAGAAAACCACATTACCGTCATGCTGATAGATTTATTTTAAAAGCTGCCCAGGCACGACTAGACGAATTCATAAAAGTTAAAATGCTAAAAGATCTACTGTTTGGACCTGCTTTCCCTCATCATATCACACGCCAGATTAACGGCTTACTGTATAACCTCCCCGTTCCAGTTCGCTTTATAAATCATTCCACTAGAAATCAGATGTACACCATTGTAACGCAAAGTATGTCACCGATCAAAATTGTCGCATTTCTCAAAGCCAACGGTGGACAGTCTGGTCGCTTTCGTTTAGTCGACAAATCAGAACTTCCGACACATAAGGACATTTTACCAGAACTTAAAAGTAGGGAAATTTTAACTAAGATCAAATCCAAATTTTAGTAGAAATTTCAATTTTGATTGGCTAAGCACTAAAACCAATCAAATTGTTGGCTTTTTTTTGCTAATAAATATAAGTGCTAGTCTAATGTCTTGTCTCAATTACATCTTCAACAGTATGGTTTTGTTTCTAATTTAAAATCCAAATATTTGTCTAAAGTCTTTACCAGTTGTGTGGTTGAGTGGTCTGATGTATGCTTTAGATCATAAGGTCTGTCATTGATTCAAGTGCCATGGTTTGTTTTGAAGGTACTTCCAACCTTATTTGTCTTATTTTCGCCAGTCATGTTTGGCCGTTTTGACTGACTTGCAGTGAAATTGACCAACTGGAGAATACTAGTAGATCATAAGGTCTGTCTAAAGTTTAGACAAATATTTGGATTTTAAACTAGATTTATAAGGGGCATTTTAAAGGGGCATTGGCGCCATTGGGTAAGATTAGATAAGAGCTGACAGTTCTCGCTATAATAGTTCAACAATAAATAATAGAAACAGAAAATGCTGAAATTTCAGTCAGATTGCTTTGCTCTGAACCGAGATATAGGTGATTCAGTTTTAGGCTACAGAGCCAATTTTCTGAAAGGTAACCTTTTCTGTGGTTCAAGTATCTGATGTGAGAATCTGGGCCCTGTTTCTCGAAATCTTAACAGTGGGAATGCAGTCGACCCTACTCTTGGAAACGAAGCTAAGCCTCTTCACTAAATGACAGACCTTATTATCCAACACGAATGCATTATCATTTGACTCCACCCCCTCCCCTGCAGTGACACATGAATGTTGTGACCAATAACCACTTTCCTGTCTTAAGGCCTTTGAAAACAGTATTCCTCATTATTAATTTGTCCCAACTAATCATGGTTCATGAATGCGTGTTCTCGATATGTTGACACTTCTACGATGGTGGGTGACTACGAGTCATGAGTGAAATAATCTTATTTCGTTAAATCTGTTATACTAATATAGAGAAAATACAATTTACATTTTATGGATATAACTTTTATGGATATAACTGTTACAACAAATAACACATCTACACAAATTTTTAAGTTGACCTCATTTCAATCAAAGTAAATACATGTATATTCGCGTTACGTTTGGTAGTGGAACCGTGACACTGACATATTGTACATCGTTGACTTCAGGGTTAGGCTTGTTGTCTACCAAAGTTAGGTTAACATCTTCCACTACACTGCAGTAACATCATCAAGCTAACCTTTGCTAAAAGGTTAATGTTAATAACATCCACCAATTAGTCTATACACTAAACACAAGACCTGCAGCATTCAATCTCTGTGATCTGTAAATAATTAATAAAAAAACATATGAACTTACTTCAAATTTACACACTATAACTTATTACATAAACTTTATGTAGATAAGGAAAGTGAATTTTGAGATGCACTCCAATGACAAGTAGTTGATTTACATAAAAATTTACAAAAATAAGAACTGTTAATGAAAATAATAAACTGATTTACCTCAAGATAGATAATTGGAAATATTTTCTATACTTTTCTTCTGAAAAATGAAAGGGCGTAGTTTTATTATAAAACAAGGAACATGTACTACAAAAACATATAATTATTAATGTACCCCCTCGCCAACACGTACATTTGGAATTCATTTAATATAGTTAACTAAAAAAAATGTTAAAATCACAATTAATTATGATACCACAATTACAGGCTGGTAAAATCAACACAAAGTTCATACATTAGATTATAATAACCAGAATCGACTTTAAACTGATGTCTCTCACATATCAATGCCATAACTCTTGCAGTAATCATCAGATCTCGCTGAAAATCAATAGGTGTCTTGTCTCATGACCTTAAACACTGTGTATAAATTTAAAGTCAATTGGATTTTAACTTTAGCCTCTAGAGTGTTCACAAGATTTTTCAAAGTGATCAAGGGCCATAACTCTGGTAGTAATTATCGGATATCGCTGAAAATCATTAGGCTTCTTCGTCTCATGACCTTACACACTGTGTAACAATTTGGAGTCCATTGGATATTAACTTTAGCCTCTAGAGCGTTCACAAGATTTATCAAAGTGATCAAGGGCTATAACTCTGGCAGTAAATATCAGATATTAACTTTAGTCTCTAGAGCGTTCACAAGAAATTGTGGACGACGGACGTATAAAAATAAAAACAAAGTTTAAAAGAATCAACTTAATTAACAAAAACAATAATTAAACAATCAAAAACTAAACAGATAAATCAAATTCAAACGGAACAAATAAAGCAAAGAAAAGGAAAAAAGCAGTTCATTACCATTCTACATTAAAAAAATAAAGGAAATCAACTTGCGAAAAAAACTTTCATAAAATAAGAGTAAAGTAACACTAATGTTAATACTTTTTTAACGACACTACTTGGGCTCCCGGCACCCCTACACCCAAGCCTATCCACACCACAACAAAGGTCCATTTCATTGATTTTTTTCAATTTAATGGTCAAAGCCATCAAAAAAAAAACCAACCCATTTAAAACACTGAGAAAATAATTTCAAATTCTACCTTTATAATCAAGAAATATAAACTTTAAATATGTAATATGTAATTCAGATCTAATTTTCCATCAAAATCAATGTAAATGGACCTTTGTTGACCAGATAAGCAAATTACATTGATACTAACTTCAGACTTTACAATTTTGTATAGAATTCGAACATTAAATGATCATGCGACCGAACCTCCAGCATGAGGTCCCTAACAATATCTATTTAAGAATAACAGAAACCATAAATTAAAGGCGTTTTTAGGACCTGAGCTTCGACCATATTAGATAGTAAAAGCTTAATTGATTCTATTAGTTAAGTATAATATTTGAAATTAGATCTATAATATATAATTATGATTTTAATAAATCTTAGCTGACAATAACGTGCGGATTTCATTCAGTTTTAAAATTGGTACTATATAGAGCCTAGCCAGTATAGCGATTCTGAAGGGAAAATACCGCTTATGACTCATGACATCACTCAAATATGACAGAAAAGCACTTATTTTGGTGCCATCCCACGCATTGACTGGTATATAGAGCGTTTTGATCATTTGAAACTTGGAGTTTGACCTGAAACCCTATTAATTAATAAATAGGTAATATTAATAAAACAATACTACTAGGCCTATTTATTAGTATTTAGAATATATATCATATGTAGGCCTACATACACTGTCATACAGTGCCTTTATTTACAAGTTACATCTGATTTATTAACTGATTATCAGACTTATCCATTTGTGTGTATCTCATTGATCATTCTCAGGCTCAAGTTATACTCCTGACAAGTCCATGAGTCACGATACTGTGACCCCCTGTTGGTTGCTGTTGTACTTACTTGTAGTTAAACTGTCACTACTACAACTTAAGGGGTATAAATAAAATGCTTGAAATGAAGTCGGACTAGGTATCTAGGCCTAATTATAATGTATAATATCGATTACCCGACGCCAAGACCACTTTTACTGTACTAGCACTAATTTCAATGTAGGCTACTTAGTTAGTAGTCTTACCCCAAAAGTTAGAAAAGACTTCGTCAGCAAAAAAAATTATTTACAATCGGTACATCTATGATTAAGATTTGATTTATGCAGTTTTAGTCAAATACTAGCCTACTATAAAGTAACAAACTTCATTTACATTACCCAGGTCAGAAAATCTCCTCAGAAAATAAAAGACAACTGTTTAGTGTTTGTAGCCCAATAAATATAAGAAGCTGACGCCGTTAAAAACAGTGTTAGCCTAAACATCAGAATATTGCGCCAAAAGCAAACCAGTTAAAAATATAATTTGCGGGTCACGGAAAGATAATTCTGTTTGGAAACATGGTTTGGTGTAGAGGAGTAACCGAAGTTGGCCGAGTGAAATCTGCAGCCGGTTGCCGAGTGAAAAATAGAAAGTAACTCATTGAAGATCCAGTATTCTGCCAGGAGAGTAGTCGTATTACGGACGATAGTCCCAATCTATCAAATAATGAAGAGAAGCCCCCCACTTTCAGCAAGACTTTTGTCATCCTCGGCAAAACTGTCCCAGTGTACATATGAGGTAGATGTTATGTAGGCCTACACAACATATGATTAGTATTATTAGTGACTATTACTAGGCTATCAGTTCCAATGAAGCGCTATATAAATCGAACAATAATAATAATACCGGTATGAATGAAGAGTAGGCTTTTCTTCTGAGTTCTGGTGAACTATGCCAGTCTGTGAAAACACATACAAAACATTATTTTAGTAAACAATCAACGTTTCATTCATAAATGCACATTGGGAATATTGCCTTGTCTGGTGCGCCAGGACAAAGAGAACTGGAAAAGGAATTTTCAAGTTTTCAGATGGGGTAGTAATATGTCCCATGGACCGTGTAGTACGTCATTTCGGTCCCGCGTCATTTCAGACTCAACACAGACAACCTTTCTGATTCAGTTTGACGACGGTTCAGTTGGTTCAGACTTACTCGACTACTTTTCAGACTCGATCTGGCGGCCTTTTGGACTCAGATGAATAATTAAAAGACTGTTGAAAATTTGTGTGATATATATTTGTAACAGTCCGATAGTTGTTTTGTTTCATTTAATCGATCGGCGATTCTTGAGGCAGCGAATAAAAAGATAACACTCATTTTACACTGCTTGTTCTATTTTGTTTTGTTTCTTCGGCGAGTATTGAACTTGACAATAAAGTATTGTTGAAAATTTGTGTACCGATATATTTACTAATACTGCTAATGTTTTTATAATTCTGAAAGCCTAAATGTCTTTTATGCGAGTCGGAATAATTGAATCAACACGGGCGCACCATTATTGCCGATTGACAACTCACATTTTTCCTCGTCCACTAAAGAACTGTAAGGTTTCTTTGCGCATACTACAATAACATAGGGATTATCGGTTAATCAGCTTTAATTATCCCACTTTGATCGTTGCCATTTCTAATATTTTCAAAAAAGAGTTTTCTTTGTACGCACAAATTTATTGATTGGTACTGCTATTTTTACTTCCAACTTATTCCCAAGTCCGAAACGTCACCTACCCCAGTCCAAATCCTTGAGACCATATTTTTTTGAGTCCGAAATGACGCGAGACCAAAATGACATGTAATCAGTACATGTTGGCGTTCACTATCAGAATAACCCTTGACAGTTGGAATTCAAAATAAGAATAGGCTGTAGACCTGTAGTGCTTATGTCCAGGCAAAATTTCCCTTAAAGGAGCTTTAAATTGCTATTCTTTGGCACCTAGAAATGGGCACCAAAGAGTTGCTACCATACACGAATGTAATATGAATGTGTATAAACTGATTTACATTCAATCGTTTCTGTTTTTGCTGTAATTTCTAACCAGTTATGGCATTGAATGGCAGTCTTTTGCGTTGCGTCTAGTTATTCCAGTCTACACTGGTAGTATTCTCCTACATGGGATATGTTTAGCCTTGTTCATCGAGTCGCTTCATACAACTGGCGCTCGAAAGCATTCTGACGCACAATCCATGTGTAAATTTTTCGTTTTGTCTTTAATATTGTCCAACTTTTCACGGTAAGATAACAACATCATTGTTGATTTTAAATGACGTTTGCAATGTCAAAGACTATGGTTGATATTGACTTGACTCCTTTGAAGGCCACTGCATTGTGTATGCAAAAAAGTAGGACATTAAACCCTATTCCATTGCATTTCACTTTAAATTTTGTCATTCTTAATCCTGTTAATTTATAATACAGTGCATGATTCAGGTAATGTGACGAATGGTAAATTTTACCTGAATGTTATATGGGGAATATCACTTTTTCCTGGGAATCAGGAAATTCTGGGAATCAGAAGGGGTGCTTGTGTTAATAAATGGTATCATTTTATATATGAGTGTTTACATAATGGTATATATATAAGGTTATATATATTTATACAATAATCTAATATTTTTTGTATTTTTCAGGCGACATTGTATGGTAAATGTGTTGTAAGTAGAGAAGTTGTGCAGAAAAATGATTGTTTAAAAGAATTTGAGGCATTACGAAATTGTATAAAGAAGGCTGTAAGTTTGTCTAGTAATTCTGATATATTTTATACATGTAGAATAATTTAAAGATGGGTAGATGCACTCGAGTTTATCAGGGTAAAAATCGAGCCTACGTCTTATACTCTGCATTGACTTATTATAGATGACATCCAGAAAAATGTTTTCCCAGAAGCCAATCTGATTAAAATACAGATCTATATTTCGTTTCGTTTTTTTATACTTTCGTTGGCCTCTACTACACAAAGATCTGACCAGTTGTAGTGGAAGATTGTGTCACGGGTCATACGAGCGCCCTTTGACTCTATGATGTCAGACATTGATTAATTAATCAGCATTGACGTTTCTAGTGTTTTACCCACAGTTCCGTGCACAGCGCACCTAGAACAGACCATTTCATTGGCTGATTCCTCACATCAACCAGAAAGCCTGTATAACAACTCTTCCAGATCCTAGTGTTGTGAAGACAAGTAAAACGAAATTTTCAACTATAAAACACGAAATGAAATAGGATCTGTGTTTTAACAAATTGCTCAGAAACTGTCCCTTAATGCAGCGTCCGCTAAGTAATAGCATTCGCACAGCAAAGTCAAAGCACATTGTTCAGATTTTTGCAAATATTATGGCACATTTTTTGACATAGGCCTACATCATCACAGTAGTATATAAAGATAACACTAGGATACAAATATTGGGGGCATTCATAATATTTTACTAATATTCAAGTGACTGAGATTTAATAGATGTATACTACATTATGTACTATCATTGGACTGTGACAGCAGTATAAATGTATTGGGAGAGGTGTTTCAAATATCTTGCTTGTTGTAATCTGTTAATATAGGGGGATTGGGTGGCCAAATTGTCTAAGGTGTGCACTTTAGATCATAAGGTGTGTCATTGAGTCAAGTGGCATGGTTTCGATTACCCACTTGTACTTGACATGGAATAGGATCTCCTGTCAACTTCGGGTGGTCGTTAAACCCCATTTCCCCCTCTCTCTCTTTAATTAATATATGATGAGTTTATGTAAAGGAAAAGACTTTAGTTTCAAGATTTGTGGCACATCCTATTGTCATTTAACAATAAAATATGGTTAAACTCTCAGCATAGTATTAGACCAGGATAACACTCTCATACTTATCGAGTTGCAAAAACATTTATCCTATACATCACTTTGACTTCTATATGGATATTGTTTTGAAAAACAGTAAAATATGACAATGTGACTTACTCTGTAAAATATGGTAATTGACAGAAGAATATGATTAAACATTGCAGTTTGGTTAGAACTAACCACATTACCATTGCACATAACTAAACATATGAAATCTCAAGACAGTCTGGTTTACAGTAAGAATTATGCTACCTGGCATCTTTCCATAATATTTCAAATTTGCAAAAAATATGCATGTCAGGTCTTTATTTAGTAAAGTATCAGGATTTGTTCTCCAGTGACATTTATTGCTGCCAAAAATATAAGAGTAAGATAAAAATTGTTACCATGGCATTGCTTTAAAATCAGTATTCTGTTTTTCAGGCCAAAAAGAGCAAGTAGTGAGTGATATTATTAAACCGAGACCAAAGCAATACAATGATTTGCCGTGTTTGTAAATTTGATTCAATCGTAGAAGATGAAGGAACATTAGTGTGTAGTAATTGTGGAACTATAGTTGATGCTCAGGTTCTGCAATTAAAACATCGCGTAGATGAGGAGGGTGGCAATAATTATATAGATTTTCATGTTAAATTATCAGGGAAGCGAAAATACACTGCAGAACCAGAATGTTTACACAAAGGTCGTCTTCGTACTGAAAATCTTTGTGAACGGCTAAAACTACCCAAACATCTGACAGAAGAAGCTTTGCAATATTTTGTAAAGTTGTTTTATATGGATACATTTAAAGGTAAAAGGTCTGAATCAAAATTATGTTTGGCCAGTGTGACCGCTTATATTGTGGCACGAATGCACAATTATCCTGTTTTGATTAAAGACATGCTTTCCCTTCTAGAAAATGACACAGAAAGAGATGTATTTCATATGATTTTACAAAGGGCGAAGTTAGGACTTAATATATTTTTCCCTAGTCTTTCTGCAGAAGAATCAACGATAAGTATTTTGGAAAAATCAAGATTTCCTGCATCGCTCATAGATCAAACTATTGAACTAGTCAAAATGTCTTCTGAATTATGGAAACAACACTGTCTTAGGCCAGAAACAGTTGTCGTTGCTTGTGCTCACATAAGTTGGTTAGGTTCAAACCTCTGTGATAATCTTAAATTACCTATCCCTAAATTCTGTGAGAGATTTTTTCTTAATAAACACAACAACTCAAGAATAATCAGCATCCAATTGAAAAGCAAGTTATGTAAAATGGCCGAGTGCATCCCTTGGGTAGGCAAGGTAACAGAGAAAAAGGTAGCCATGTATTTACCTGATATCATTTCCTATCAGCGAACTCTTTTCAGTAAAGCATTTGATAATGCAGAATTTCTTGAAGAGTTATTTCCCAAACGATCTAAACCTGACACTCGCATAGAAGAAGAAGAAATCAACAAAATAGATGAAAAAATCCGCCGAGAAAATCCAAAACTTCACTATACTGAGCTTGGTGAAGATGAATTTCAAAATGAAATGGACGAATACATAAAAACTGATGCTGAAAGACAATTTTTTGAAGAAATGCAAACTATGAACAAACTGTAACCTTCTCGATATATATATTGTTTAGATTAAATTATTGTTTTTATAGTTTCCCCAAGTATTGTTCTTATTGCTGATGAATGGAAAACATTCAAAGGATATTTAAACAAACAAGTAATAATAGCAGTCATTTTCATATAATTTTATATAAAACTAGCGGATGACCCGTCACTACACAGGTTGTGCTTATAACTCTGAAAGCGGAAGCGGTAGGCCAACACCACCAGGCCTATGTTATTCCCAGGTCTGAGCTACCCCTATACACCAAATTTCAGCCTCAGGAGAGCCATAGTGTAGCTACAACTCTGAAAAAGCACACAAACCACAGTCACAAATATTAGTATAGATTGCACTTTATTTTCTGTTTCATTAATTTTACATGTAGTTACATGTGTACTTACATTTTTATGTTCGTTAGTTAAGACATTTATCTTAATTGCAATTTTTGAACAGTGCCTAAACTTATTATACACTAAAATGCTAGTTTAACATTTAATTAAGAAATCAACACATTGATAGTCTTCCGGTTATAATTCAGTCAGATTTCAAAGAGGCTCATCAAAATCTTTTAGCAAAGATTGTAGGTGGTGCTGTCATGTTTTTATCATATCTCTTTATATCATCAGCAGGATGCTTAATTAAGACATATTTTTAATTTATATCTTTGTAAATACTGAACAGAATTGAATCATTATACATGGAAATGTGGTCGTATATTGCCGTCGCCCCCGTCCGTCCGTTGCCCACAATTTCTTGTGAACACTCTACAGACTACATTTATCATCTGATTGTTCTGAAATTGATATATGTTGTTTGCATTAGTGTGATGAAGAAGCCTATTTAATTTCAATAACTTCTGTTAATTTCGTCTGGAGTTATGGCCCTTGTTTTACTTTTTTGAACCTTGTGAACGTTCGAACGACAAAAGTTATCATCTGATCTGTATGAAATTGATATGTATTATTTGAAATTGTAAAACGAAAAAGTCTGTCGAATTTCAACAATTTCTGTAGATTACTTCGAGTTACAGCCCTTGTTTTAGTTTTTAGAACCTTGTGAACCCTCAAACGACAAAAATTATAATGTCATCTGTATGAAATTGTCTATTAAATGCCCCCTAATTACCTACAAAAGAACAAATATACGACAACTCTTGTCGACCGCTCGGACGATTTAGCTGCTGTGGGTGTATGTTTAGTTGCCTGGCAACCTATCTTTTTTGTACTGATATTCTAGAGATCAAACATCTCTCAAAAGACAAACACTTTAAATATATATTTCCTCAAAATACATAATTACATGTTTAAGAAGATATCAAAAATACCAGTAAAAATATATTTGTTATAAAAATACATTATATCTTTCGAAATATTCAATAAAATCAAAAGACACTACCATTATGTAGTACATGTATATATTATTATTATTATTATTGTTCGATTTATATAGCGCTTCATTACACGTGAAGTGTTTCTAAGCGCATATCACAAACATATACTTAAAACACACAAAAACAATCAAAATCAGGAGAACATAATTAAACACTATGCAAGATGATGAGTGGTCAAGCAAATGTGTTACTAGGTAAAGTGTGAGTAACGTTTTTTGGCAGGAGTACTTTTTATACATAATTACATATCAAAGTGTTTTGTAAGAATTATTAAATTTTGTGTAAAAGTCATACACATATTTAAAAATTACTTTTTATTGTGTCTGGTATAATGAGAGTCTGTATTCATGAATATTCGTCATCTATATTCAAACAGCTGCATTCAAATAACATCTGTTATTCTTTGTTCAATTTTCAACAGAATTTATTAATTTACAAAACTATTTCCTTTTTGCTGATTTTTGTCTATACATATTTGTATCTATTACAGAGTTCACTTGTGCAGATTCACCACTTAAACTTATCGGATATTGCGGTTTACGTCGTGCCAAAACACTTGACAAAAAATCATTCATCATTTTAGTTATTCCTTCACCAGTTGCTGCTGAGGTTTCATAATATCTGAAATAAAAATGAAAATTGTATGTATAGGATTTATTTAAAGCTTGTTAAAATAATATGGGCTTTATGTACAGAACCAAATTAGCTGATGAAAGTCATTATTTATAGAAATATTTATCTATGAGTATCATGTTCAAATATTTAAATTGTAAAATATTGATAATTAGGAATACAAGATAGTGTTCAAGCTAACATTAAGGTGTTGAATGTGGCCAAGGGTGATAGTTAGCTGAGCTTCTAGACTGGAACACCAAATGAATATATGATTCATGAATGCACCTATTCATAAGTAATCGTCTAAGTTCCATGCATTCACATCACTCTAAAACAAACAGTAACTTAGACTCCTTGCAAGCATTTGATTTTCTACCAGTGCCTTAAGATGAGAACATTAAGGTGAAATGCACCATATAAATTCAGTAGGTTTTTTTTTCCAATGTTTTTCTTTTAATGTTTTAATTTGGACCTTGATAAGGTTAATTTTGTTTAATCTTTTTGTCATTAATACACAGATATGTTGTCGACATTTTTGTTTGTTTTATTATACATAAACCAGTCTAATATGAAAAAATGGTTCTGAATATAATTACTTGAATCTGTGCTGACTTGCAAATTTTTTAGCCTCTGTGACAGAGATTACTCTGTTTTGTTTTACATCAATCTGAAATATAAATTTAGAAATATTTATTACAATTTACAATTTGTTTTACATCAATCTGAAATAAATTTAGAAATATTTATTACAATTTCACTTATTAGTAATATTTTAAATAATCAGATTTTAAGAATATATTTTATATTTTGCCAGAAATGAACTTGCATTAATTGGTGCTTTCGTTTGATGAAAGATCTGACCGTTTGTTGTGGACAGTCGCGGCTTTTGACCCTATGACATCAGACATTTGATGAACCAATCAGCGTTGAGGTTTCTAATGGGTTGCAGGGGGGGGGGGAATGGCTGAATGGTTAGCACGTGCGTGCTGTAACATAAAGTCTGTCATTGAGTCAACTGGCGGGGTTTTAATTCCCCGGTTGTACGTGACAAGTAGGGTCGCCTGTCCAGCCTCATGGGTTTTCTCCGGGACCTCCGGTTTTCTCCCACTGCTAAAGACCCCTACGCACAGCGAATTATGGAAATAAAATTGAACCATATGTTAGTCCCAAAATGACCTAGTTTGTGTGGAGTGGACGTTAAACCCTCTCTCTTTCTCTCTCTCTCTCTCTTTCTCTAATGGGTTGCCCACAGTTCCTTGCACAGGCCTAAAACTTGCCATAACAGACCGTTTCATTGGCTATTCCTTCACATCATTCAGAATGCGGGTTATATAACAACTCTTCCAGATCCTAGTGTAGTGAAGACAAGTAAAACGAAATTTTCAACTATAAAAAACGAAACGAAATAGGATCTGTGTTTTAATCAGATTGGAATACATGTGGAGTTTAAATCTGTATTAACTTTTGGTGCACATTTACATGGAGTTCCTTCAGATATGTATGTTAAAATATGAAGTTTAAAGGCCAAAGAAATGATTAACAAAATCAGGTGCTTACATGTAATAAATGAGCTGATAAACGTGACAGCCACACTATGGCTATCCAGATTCTACCGTTTGTCAAAAAGATACTTGGTGACATCTTTGAATAGAATATGAATCTTTTCAAGATTATATGTCAACTACACATTAATTGATTTTGAAAATGAATAACTTTACCTTATTGCCAATCAGATAAATTTCCGGATTTCCTGATGCGAAGGACCGAATTTCTCTCAACCATGTTTCTAAACTGTCAAAAGATGACTGATTATGTACATCGAACATCAGAAAAATGGCATCTGTCAACCCATATAGTTCATTACGAACATCTACATAATCTGTACTACCTGATAAATCCCATAGATGAACTCGTACTGAAAGACATACAGAGATTGTTATTTTAAACAGCTTTACAATTGTTTTAAAACCCTGTAATGTATAAAGGTCCCCTGGGAGGGGGGGGGGGGTAAGTAGTGGTCGGGTACACCTCTTTAATTTAAGTCAAAATTTAATATGGAATGTGTTATTATGATGTGTTTTCCCATTAGGGATGTGTCAAGCTCTATACAATTGTTGTTTTGTTTTGAAACATTCAACAGCTTGTTTATTAATCTTTTAATCTTATTATATTTTTGCCTTATTGCATCGCTGGATGAAAAACGAATTACTATCTATAGACGTAAATAGAACATTTGACCATGTAACTTAAGTGTACGTAACTTGACCTACAATTCATGAGACAGACAGGCCCTGGTGAGTAGATGAAGAATATACCATATATAAACCACTCATGTATCGATCATCGCTGATTTTACATGTGGAACAAGATCCTGTGTGAGTACAAAAATCCAACATTTATATTGTGGAGGTGGGGGGGGGGGATTCTCTCTCTCTCAACACCAAGATATATTTTGCACTGTGTGGAACACGCTAGAGTGAATTTGTAGTATATCTGAGCCACTGGTTGAGGTATATGATTATGGAGTAATGAAGATTGGAATCTGAACATGAAAATCCAGAGGGGCACAAAGACTGGGCTGGTCCATATAGTCCAGAAACTGGTGTAATATGTACTGGAATTTAGGTGTGCCTGTTAGTGGTGTGGATTTAAGAGCATTGAAGAGGTCCATATTATCATTACATTATGTAATCTACATTTACCTACCTTCAGCACCATTTACATTCTGTATTTTAAAACCATAATCAACACCAACTGTAGGTTGATATCCTGATACAAACTACAATCAAAATTTAATCAAAAACATACAGAATCAATTGCCAACATTAGATATGAGATCATATATATATATAGCCCTAATATAGTTCTTTCGATAGTATGAAATAAATTAAATACATTTTCTGGGTAATATATACATGTAGCTTCTTGTTTTACTTAGAAGTTTTATAGAAAATAGAGCGAGAGATAAATGGGGTTTAACGTCCACTCGACACAAACTAGGTCATTTCAGGACTAACATATGCTTAATTCTATTTCAATAATTCGCTTGCGCGTAGGGGTCTTTGGCAGTGGGAGGAAACCGGAGGACCTGGAGAAAACCCATGAGGTTGGACAGGCGACCCTACACCTTGTCACATACAACCGGGGATTCGAAACCACGCCTGTTGACTCAATGACAGGCCTTGTGATACAGCACGCACGTGCTAACCATTCGACCATCCAACCCCCCTTTATAGAAAATATACTTGTGTGTAGATTGGTATAAGTATATGATATTCATATTTTGTATTAATTTATAGAGAATTGGCATAGATATTTCTTAAATCTTTGGTAAAATATGTAGATGTAATAGATAATTATTACCTTGCTCTCACAGAAATGTTTGACTAGAGATGTTTTACCGACACCAGCATTTCCAACACCAACCATCTACAATACATAAAAATATTCACATTTCTAAAAAAAGATAGCAATGAAATGAAATAGGGTTTAATCTTCTACTTTTCTGTATCAACTAGACTAAAGAAGACTGGCATGTCATGCAGTGCATGTTCTGTGAGAGAAGTTTTGCATGGACAGTGGTTTTTTTGCTTAATTTTCATCGACTTCTAAGAACTATCCAGGGTTCTTTACTTTCATGCCAACAAGTACATGCAGTGGCAGTGGCTGTCAATGGTTGGAGGGGCAAAGTTCAAGTTTAAGGGGGCCAAGGTGCGAGTTTCAATCAGGGGTATGGTGGGGGGGTGGGCCTCACACAGAAATGTTTGAAAAAGTGACTTTTGGAAATGCAGTCTGGCAGCATTTCGGGCACTGATCTTTCAGATAAATAGATCTCTACAGATACCACATGTCAAACGAATCTCGACAAAGCCTCCTCATGAGAGCCCAAGTAGCAAGCCTTTACAGAAGGTATGAGGGACCTCCCTCAGAAAATTTTGAAAAATAGACTGCCGGAAATGCTGTCTGACAGTATTCTGGCACCGATTGTCGAGATAAATAGAGTTGACCACTAGCCTGATCACTAGTTTATCCGACCAGGGAGGAAATTGTCAAATGAACGGACTTGCGAACCTCAACGAAGCCCCCGGAAATTTGAAAAATAGACTACTGGATATACAGTCTGGCAGTATTTCAGGCACTGATCGTCGAGATAAATAGAGCTTACCAAATACCACCTAAGCTGTCACCAAATCACTAGTTTATCCGAAACGAGAGGGAGGTGTCAAACGAAAGGAGTAAGTGAATCAAAGTGAATTAATATTCTTTCCGCATTGAAACTATGTCCAAACACTTTAAGGATCGTAAAATGCCCTTCTCAAGTGGTTTACGAGTTATTGTTTATAGTTAAAGCAGGATGGGTTTGCTAAGAAATCAGCCGGACTCTACAACATGCAAGGATTACCGAAATACATGTATATTACAGATATTTTGTTATTTAAAGATACATTATGGGAGATTCGCTAACGAGTTGGCAGTTCTCACTATAATAGTTAAAAACTAGATAATGTAAAGGCAATTTGGTGAAAATTTCATTCAAATTGATCCACTATGACCCGTGAACTAAGCGACTGAAATTCCCATAAGCCTTGGTCATCATTACTCAAGTCAGTACAATAAACAGCATAGTCTCGATTATCCATTTAATCGTTTAATCGAGAAGGAAAGTTATGCTGTAAATCAGCGCTGCCATCTAGAGTTGATTATGGCCTGGATAGGTTAATTAATGTCTAATTAATAATTTAGATAACATTTCAGGCCTAAAGAAAGACCTGAGATAGGCAGATTTAGCTCTTGCATAATGTATGTTTAATTGGATAGTGTACTTACTTTTACCCATATTAATGATGAGACTGCATTAGTAACATCCTTAGTTAAATGTCCAGGTTTTCTATCCATTTTGCACAGAAACAAAATTTACATCGTAGTCGGGACTTACGCGTTATCTTGTAAATGGACGCTTCCTTAGAGACTGTAAACAAAATAGTGCATTTTGGGATATGGGAAAAACCCATCTAGGACCAATTATTTCCTGGAAATCTCCTATGACCTCATTAGGTAGGTTCACAAGAAAGCGTAAAATGAAACACCTTATCAAAGTTTTGATCGTCTGAAACGTGTCCATGTAAATAATTATAGAACATGACTAAAATGCGATAAGTGAGGAGTGTGGGAAAAGACATATTTCAAATCTAGATAGAGATACAATCGCCGGATGGACACGTCGCCTAACGTTATTTTTAGTAACAGTACATTCTGCGCATGCTTCCTTCAGATGGGTTATATCTACATCCGATACAAAGTTGAGGAAACTGAAACAATGTTATTCTTGCGAACAGGTCTGGTTCTACGAAAATGACGTGAATGAAAGATCGAAGCATTTTGTGAGTAAACGACCAAAATGGCTTGGTTGACAGTTAGCTATGTTCTCTGGCTTTTCGGCGGCTGGTTTGGGCTGCATCATTTATACTTGAGAAGGGACAAACAGGCATTTGTATGGCTTTGTACATTTGGAGGATGTTTTGGTTTAGGATGGTTAAGAGATTTGTGGAGGATACCAGAATATGTCGACGACTGTAAAGAAACAGAGAGCAACCGGTTAGAATTTCACCAGAGAGTAATGCGAAATCCCAAACCCCCTTTCTCTATAGTGAGATACGGCGGAGAACTTATCATGGGCAATTTATTTGGTTATTTAGTATTAATGACTATGCCTGCAGATTTTGTTAAAGAAGGTTTGGGTAATATATTATCAGTATATTTACCGCCACTAGCAGTAGCTCTAGGTAAGATTTGTACAAATTGAGATAGAATACTTGATCAAATGCAACAATCCCTTAATTTTAGGAAAATCATCACTGAATATATAATTTACCAGATACATGTATACTACCATACTCCTCGCAGTGTTTCGTTTGACTCGAGCTAATGCCACTTAACACTGCTGTAATGTAAGCAAATTTCTGTTCAAAATTATGACTGGTCAATAGTCCGCTTAACAACCAATAGCTTACTGCGTAACAATATCATTACGCTTTAAACATAGCTTTCACCGTTTTTAATAGCTTAAATCACTGTCCAAATTTTTTGGGAACACCCCAGCTTAAACTAAGGGGTTGCTGTACTTGGGATAGATTTGATTGAACGGGAAGAATAGACACACTCCCTCAATAGCTCACGTATCGAAAGCCAATCCAGCAATGGCAGAGAGGGATTTATCGGGCCACTGCTTCAGGAATATGGTATACTACTAGTTGCAGTATTTGTAGCAGTGGTACTTGTCTTGTGCACTGCTACAATTGATACACTCTTCAAGGCTTTGCGCAAGTAAAAATAGCATCAATTGCAAAATTTTTAACACATATCATCACAGTTTGCATGGAAATACGTAATTATGTTACAAACAGTGAAGAGTGGAACTACTGAAATCTTAATCTTACCTAACTGAACAGTTTTTCTATGTTTTTGAGGTGACCTGAAATCACGTGCATGTTCTAATCCTGGTTTGGTGTCCATTTTAAAAATGAAAAAAATGTCGTGTAGCCGTTTGATTTTATTAAATTGATGAATTTATGTGGTAAGGTTTCATCTTTATGGCAATTAGTTTATTATACGTTAAGCCATGTACAGTACAGTTTGAGGTTGGTGTAACTTGTTTGTAGTCAAATAACTACAAAATTTGCTCAAAGGAAGTCCTTAGAACAATCCACTATTGTGATTGGAGCAAGACGGAAGACTTAGTGGAACCATTTCTAGTATACTATGTCACAGTAAAATGATCTGCTTAACTGCATTTTTGTATTGTCACTTCCGCTTAAAGTTCAAACACTGCCTTTAGATCTGAGAAGAGAAAATTAATACAACAAAAATGGCATATAACTGCAGTTGTAACAAAGTATGTAACTCTTCAAATAAAATTTAGTATGTATGCCAACTGTCTGATAAGGGCATATACATGTATATATAGTTCATTGCCACATTAAAGCAAATAAATGTTTTCATGTCGGGCAGATGCGATGCCGCTATGATCTTTGGGGGACATTTTGTGTGTGCATGTGCATGACACATTTTATCTTGGATGAAGCTTACTCTTTTTATTTTCAATATGATACACATTTGTTGCAATACACTGACTAAAACACTGTTTAAAAAACCTGTTATAGAAACATCTGTTACAGAGATTATATATCAGGCCTGATTGCTTAAACTCCAGTATTGTGATTGTTAGAGCTTATTATAACAGTGATTTATTACATGCATGATTAAAGAAATTTATGTATGAGAATATTTAATTTGTATAAATTAATAACTACATCTATTCTAGTTTATTTATTACATGCATGATTTATTAAATATTTAAATGATAATTTGTATGATTTAATAAGTATTCTAGAGTACTGTTAATTGATACTGAAAAATTATTAATTAACCTATAGGTGTAAGTACTGGGAGATTTAATAATAATCATAAATCTTAAGAAGTCCCTAAGGCTAGGATATGATTGATTGATTGATTTCTTGTTCTGGGCATAATTAGATCATTATCCAATTTATCCGACCCGGATGGCCGAATGGTTAGCACATGCAAGTTGTATCATAATATTTGTCATTGAGTCAATTGGTGTGGTTTCTATTCCCCAGTTGTACGTGACAAGGAGTAGGGTTGTCTGTTCAACCTCATGTGTTTTCTCCGGGTCCTCTGGTTTCCTTGAACTTGAACATGAATGATTATAGTCACTTTGAGGGGATGTTACTATGTGTGCAAGTTTTCGTTCATTCATGAGGCTTAACATCCTCTTCCACTGAGGGTGATATCACAGACAAGAATGTGGGCAAGCTAATCCTCTTAAACCCTGTTAGTATTGAGGTTCATTAGGTCACATATTGCAACCTGAAAACTTATTTGAAACTAAGTATGATATTTCTGATGACCCAGATAACAAAAAAAACCCTAAAATAATAGGTGATTGGAAGTTCACATTAAATAGCATATGCAAGAAATTCTTAATTGTCAACTCAAGTTTGAAAGACAGCTGTTTGTTGTTGACATGTGAAGGGATATTGGCTGTAATGTATGCAGTATAGATAGTATATCCTAAACACATGCTTTGCTTATCACTAAATAGTCACTGTGCTAATAATGGCAGTATTTTTATATGCCCACATTTTCATGTAGACGCATTATGCCGTCGCCCCTGTCCGTCCGTCCACAATTGTTTGTGGACTCTCTACAGGTCACAATTCTTATCCGATTTCGATGAAACTTGAAATATAGGTTTATCCCCAAAAGCTTGAAATGTAAGTTTATAACCCAAAGATCTCAGTTCCTTTCTATATTTGCGCATATCGGACAGTAACTTCCTGAATTATGGCCCCTGATTGTACGAAAAATCACGTTTTTAGCTTGTGGACCCTATAGAAGTCATAATTTTTATCCGATTTAAAAAAAACGTTCTATCATATCACCGTTACACCCTAAGGATGACTGAGTTCGAATTTCGTGAAAATCGGCCCAAAATTGACAGACAAAATGGCCGCCGTTCATTCCCAAATAGCGAAAGAATATGGTATATCAAGGTTGTGGACCCTATAGGGGTCACAATTTTTATCCGATTTTGTTGAAACTTGAAATGTAAGTTTATAACCCAAAGATCTTGGTTCCTTTCGATATTCGTGCATATCGGACTGTAACTTTCTGAATTATGGCCCCTGATTGTACGAAAAATCACGTTTTTAGCTTGTGGACCCTATAGAAGTCATAATTTTTATCCGATTTAAAAAAACGTTCTATCATATCACCGTTACACCCTAAGGATGACTGAGTTCGAATTTCGTGAAAATCGGCCCAAAATTGACAGCGTAAGAATATGGTATATCAAGGTTGTGGACCCTATAGGGGTCACAATTTTTATCCGATTTTGTTGAAACTTGAAATGTAAGTTTATAACCCAAAGATCTCGGTTCCTTTTGATATTCGTGCATATCGGACCGTAACTTCCTGGATTATGGTCCCTGATTGTACGAAAAATCACGTTTTTAGCTTGTGGAACCTATAGAAGTCATAATTTTTATCCGATTTAAAAAAACGTTCTATTATGTCACCGTTACACCCTAAGGATGACTGAGTTTGAATTTCGTGATAATCGGCCCAAAATTGACAGACAAAATGGCCGCCATTCGTTCCCAAATAGCATAAGAATATGGTATATCAAGGTTGTGGATCCTATAGGGGTCACAATTTTTATCCGATTTTGTTGAAACTTGAAATGTAAGTTTATAACCCAAAGATCTTGGTTCCTTTCGATATTCGTGCATATCGGACCGTAATTTCCTGAATTATGACCCCTGATTGTACGAAAAATCACGTTTTTAGCTTGTGGACCCTATAGAAGTCATAATTTTTACCCGATTTAAAAAAACGTATTATTATATCACCGTTACACCCTAGGGACGACTGAATTCGAATTTCGTGAAAATCGGCCCAAAATTGACAGACAAAATGGCCGCCGTTCGTTCTCAAATAGCGTAAGAAAATGGTATATCAAGGTTGTGGACCCTATAGAGGTCACAATTTTTATCCGATTTTGTTGAAACTTCCCAAAGATCTCGGTTCCTTTCAATATTTGCCCATATCGGACCGTAACTTCCTGAATTATAGCCCCTGATTGTACGAAAAATCATGTTTTTAGCTTGTAGACCCATTAGAGGTCATAATTTTTATCCGATTTAAAAAACCGTATTATTATATTACCGTTCCACCCTAAGGACAGTTGAGTTTGAATTTTGTGAAAATCGCCCCAAAATTGACAGACAAAATGGCCGCGGTTCGTTCTCAAATAGCGTAAAAATATGGTATATCAAGGTTGTGGACCCTATAGAGGTCACAATTTTTATCCGATTTTGTTGAAACTTGAAATGTAAGTTTATAACACAAAGATCTCAGTTCCTTTCGATATATGCGCATATCGAATTGTAATTTCCTGAATTATGGCCCTTGATTGTAGGAAAAATCACTTTCTTGTTAGCTTGTTCTCTATCCATCTCTCGAAAATGTGGGCGTATCCTGCCTGGCAGCCGCTGGTTAGACTTGTAATTGAATAGTGTTTCTCATTCATAGCTATTAAGATGCTGTATTCCCTGTAGTTTGGTAGAAATGATTCCACTACTGATGTCTTACTCTTGCTCCAGCCACAGTAGTGGATCATTCTAAGGACATCCTTTGAGCAAGTTTTGTAATCATTTGATTACAAAGGTTACTAGCCTATAATTTCCAATCAAACTGAACCCAAACTGTACTGCACATAGCTTAACATATAATAAACCAATTCTCATTGAAATAAAGGTAAAACATTACCACATAAATTCGTGATTTAATAAAACAAATCCAATGGCTGCACAATATTTTTAAAATGGCCACCAAATAAGAATTAGAACACATGTCATTAAATGTCACCTCGAAAATGTAGAAAAACTGTTTGGTAACTATTTTCAGTGCTCCATTCTATTTGTAACATGAATACTTATTTGCATGCAAACTGTGATTATATGTGATGTGAACTTTGCATTTGAAGCTATTTTTGCTTGCACAAAACTTTGAAAAGAGTGTATCCATTGTAGAGGCCCACTAAACAATATAATATTTGGATATGGTCTTAACGCATATATTTTTAACAGTCAACTCTGTAGTTAAATTTCCATTTATTCTTGGCTAACCCCTGATTGGTGTACATGCTTATACCTCAGTATATAATCTCTATTGTTCATATATCTTGCACATAATGTTCTTCAATCCTTTATTTCTGTTTAGTTTATTGTAAAAACATTGAATTCCTATTTCAGGTGTTTATTTAGTGGGAAATATAGGAAGAGAAAAGGTGACCTTCAAGTCCTGTGTTATTGGTGCTTTTTGTGGAGTACCATGGCTTATTAAAGACAGTAATAATATTGCAGTGGTACCACTTCTTTCTGCATTTGCAGCCAGATGGAAGGGAGTATCATGGCGAATACATAGAGAGAAACAACAGAGATTAACATGGCGGTTGTTTAAATTTGGAGTTTTAGCAGGACTTTATTATTCTCTATGGATTAGTGCCATTTATTTTAATGGTACAATCACGACTAAAGATGAAGAAACTGTAAGTGAAATTTGAGTTCAAAATTGTTGAAATACATGTATACCACGTTACAGTATTAGAATGAATGTGAATATTCTCATAAAAAATAATCTCTCTTCTGAGCTGTATTGTACTGATTTTCAAACCACACTGAACAAATGAATAATATATGTCATTAGGAGTAGCAGTCAAAAATTATACAGTATCGCTGATTTGAAAAACAATAATTTGGCAAAATTTTCCAAAAATAAATGCCATGGTTTCACAAATTGAAATCAATTATCATTGTGAAGAGTATTTTATTTTTTAAAACCTGGATTTTACAGGATATACCATCTCTTTGTATTATAAATAAGGCACTTGGCATAGTGCACTTAAAAGTAGCTGAAGTTCCAGGGTATCTGACCTATTGGGATGAAGGCATCGTACATATTTACAGCTGTAACACACATGTTCATAGAGGTGCCCACCTGGTTTTAAAATGTTTGATGCATAAGCAATCTTTTTAAAATCTTTTGTTCCAGGTCTTAATAAGAGATGCAGTAAATAATTTCTTTAAGTCTCCAGCTTGGGCAGAAACTAAAGATTCACTTTGGAAATTATATGAATTTTATAACATTCATGGGTGGCATAAATTGTGGGAAGAATTGGTGGAAATATTTGATCCTGTTGGAGAGAAAAATGCATACAAGGTGAGAATATATATATCCATTATATTGATTTCTGTATAAAACTAGCTTACGGCAAACAAAATGATGCTATTAAGCCAACTTTTAGAATAAGATACATAGTAGTAGCACTGTGCAACTGATACTGTTCACTTATGAACCAATAAGGCATTTTACTAATGAACACTTTTGCCATTAAATCATATATCATTACCAAAACTAATGTTTAGTGTGTATAGATAGAAAGTTGTTAGAAATTATACAGTACCGGCTGGTAGTCATTAATTAGTAGGTAACTAACTAACAGTAAAAAAAGCCACTTCTAATGTAAAAGTGATTAGACTAATTCTATTGAATACACAAACCTAATTGTAGTGGTTATCATTTATTATTAACCATTTTAACTAACAAGTGAAGATTACACATACAAAAGGATGACTAAGATCTCTTTGTGGCAGATATTTTGATTAATAAAAGTCACATGTTCACACATGTGAACAGTATTAACTTTTAAGTTGTACCGCATATACATGTACCAATCTGATAAAAACACAGAGCCTATTTTATTTCGTTTTTTATAGTTCAAAATTTCGATTAACTTGTCTTTACTATACAAGGATCAAAAAAGTTGTTATAACCTGCGTTTTAATCTGATTAAAACACAGATCCTATTTCGTTTCGTTTTTTATAGTTCAAAATTTCGTTTTACTTGTCTTTACTACACTAGGATCTGGAAGAGTTGTTATATAACCCGCATTCTGGTTGATGTGAGGGATTAGCCAATGAAACGGTCTGTTACAGGGAGTTCTTAGCATGTGGTGTATCCCACTAGAAACATCGACACTGATTGGTTAATTAAATGTCTGACATCATAGGGCGAAAAGTCGTTTGTATGACCCCTGACACTACCTTCCACTATAACCAGTCAGATCTTCATGTAGTGCAGGCCATCGAAAGTATAAAAAAAAAAAAAAACGAAATATAGATCTGTATTTTAACCAGATTGTACATGTACCATGTAACAAGACTTTGATATGTTAAATGTTTGAAAAGCTAATTCCCTTTGACATTTGCCCACTACTGCCCTCCACTGCCTACCACTCTTCAATGCCTTCCAATGTCGTCCCCTGCTCATCATCCCTGCCTTTTCCTCTTATGTCCTCCCATACTGTCCACTGTTCATTGCAACCATCTCAGACCCATCCCCGCCCACCTTTGCCATTATCTGCTCAGCACTGTTGACCAACTGCCCTCTCCTGCCCTCCAGTATTCTCCACTGCCCTCCTTTACCAACTACCATCCCCCACTGCCCTCCCCAGCCATCTTCTGTCAATCCCTGACCTGTACTGGTAACCACTGCCCTACAGTCCAATGTAAGGAAGTAGATCATCAAAAGTCTAAATGAACTGGAAGCTAAGAAGACTTTTTATATGCCCACATTTTACTGTGGATGTATATTATCATTGCTTCTGTCCATCTGGACTTCAGTCCATTTACATTTTGTTGGCAGACACTGTACAGGACACAATTTTTATCCAATTTTGATGAAAATTAAAAATATAGGTTTATGGTTTATATCCCTAAGCCCTTGATTCCTTTTAGTATTGGCATGAATCGGATTGTAACTTCATGGATTATGGGATTATGGCCCCAGATTTTATGAAAAGATCATGTTTTTACCGGTAGCTTGTGGACTTTTTATGGGTCACAATTCTTAACCAATTTTCACAAAACTTAAAATGTATTTTTTTAACCGAATGATTTCGGTTCCTGTCGATGTTAGCGCATATTGGACATTGACTTCCTGGCTTATGGCCCCTGATTGTATGAAAATCATGGGTTTTTTTTAGCTTATTCTCAGTATATCTATTTCAAAATGTGGACGTATCTTGCAATGCAACTGCTTGTTACACTAACCGTTAAGTTCTACAGCATTCTACTGTTCCATGATCCAGCCTTTCCCACTCAAATTTTCTTGTATTTAAATAGTATTTTTTTTGTTAAATTTCAGGTTCTGGGGGTGACATCTGAAATGAGCCAAGAGGAGATAACTTCTAAATACCGCAAACTAGCCAAACAGTGGCACCCTGACAAACATAAAGATCCTGCCAAGAAAGCAGAGGCACAAGAAAAATTTATAGAGATTCAAACTTCTTATGATGTCCTCTCCAAACTTAAGACAAGAAGAGCCCGAAAAAATAAAAAATCGGCTGAAAATCCAAATCAAACAGAATTATAATGTTTACATCCCAGTTTACATCCCACTTCTACTCGTTGCCACTGGTAACCTTTGATAAAACTGTCCGGTTTTATCGCAATACATGCTTAAAAGTATCCTTGTATCAGTAATGTACAGAAAGAGTAAAGTTCATTTCTGATACAAGGATACTTTTAAACCGTTTTAGATACCTATCAAGCAATCAATACATGCTTAAAAGTATCCTTGTATCAGTAATGTACAGAAAGAGTAAAGTTCATTTCTGATACAAGGATACTTTTAAACCGTTTTAGATACCTATCAAGCAATCAGTAGCGGACGTTTAGACGTTTAGTCCGATCCAGATCGCAAATGAAGATGATGGCTCTAACCAATGTACATGAAACAACTAGTCAAAATCATAGTAACAAAACAAAATGGGGGGAACTACATGGCAGTTCAAAAACATATACAATGACATTAAATTAACATAACAACATATTACAAAAATCAATTATTATACATATCAATTGGCATCTATTTTATAATTTGGTTTGATTTATATTAATATGCAAAATATATATATTAGAATATTGAATAATTATTTTAATTAATTGTGATGATAGAAGGCGCAGTTCTCTTGCTGGACACTTCACTGGCATTGATAATAAGCAGGATGAAAAAAACGCCTAGAAAGTCATAAACTTTATTACAAATAAATTTCAACGGAAGAACCATCCGCCGATGCATACTTTCACCAGGAATGACCCACGTTTCGCATTTCCTTTACACTACATTTAATAATATCGCAGTCCTCTACGCCATAGATAAGATGTTTTGACGGTGTGGTCTTAACAAACACGTGATTGTTTTACGCTCAGAGTATCATACTACTCAGGTCGTCTCTCCACAGCGAAATCATTCTACCATGAAATGTAACGTGAGGCTCAGAAAGGGATAAATAATGAAAGAGCAGAAAGTATTTGTCACTTTTCGGTTGAAACGACTCGATGATAAATACTATTTTTCACATGTTGGTTCACAATACTCGATAGAAATGTGATGTAAGTAACTTATTAGCACCTTTCCTCGGTGTATCGGTGAAGGGTGCTAATAACTACTACATACATCTGATATTGTCTTATAATGAGACAGCTAATTAACCATACAGGTAGAACAATGTAATATGCATGGGGCAATTTAATGTCAATTATAGATATAGATCACTAATATGGCAACTTCCTGTGTGTTTAATTCCTTGTTAAAGATATTGCCTTCTATCATAATTGGGTGTGTGTTCGTTCGACCCTCCTTTATATCTGACAAAACATTATCATATGTGTAATAGTCATTGTCATTGTCTCTTTTAGAATTCTGTAATGAAACATCAATGGGGAAGTAGTCTCCCCTTGCAATGATTTTAAATTAGGAAAAGTATATATATATATATATATATATATTATATACATATTATATTTTATATATAATTATATATCAAATTGTTTTGTACGAATTATTCAAATCTCTGTGTAAAAGCCTTATAAAACATCTCATTGTTATCTAAATATAGCAACATCTAATTTTTATTCTTAATTAAATATTCAAAAAGTGATATTTATGAATGATATAATATATAATACTGCCTACTATACTGTTTATAGTCTGTATTGATCTTTAGAAAAATTTACCTTTCTGTCAGTTTAATTTTGGAAAATCAAATCACAAACACTACGAAATTTCTTTGTAACAAAAATTTCAAAATATCATCAAAGAATGAAAAAATTGTTATATTATATACTTTAAAAACTTTTCTGATAAAGTTTTGGTTAATAAAATAAGTTACAAATTGTCCAGTGAGAGCCTGTGTTTATAATGGAAAATTATGTATTATCTTGCCAATATTAAGGCTCCTGATTAGCTCTTGTTATCTGTTTTGATATTATCGTTTTCAAAGAAGTAATTGTTCTTAATTCTGTGTGTTAAGAATTGATTTATTGAATACTCTTAGCAATTATATTTTTTATTTAATATCGGATGCATAGGAAATTTAGTTATACATTCCCTCTGACCTATTATTCGAATTCAGTGGTGTAATGCATTCAATTTTAATTGAAGTAGCTATCAAAATCAAAAGGATGGTATTACAAATAATCTTATCAACAATATATCAGTCCAAAATTGACCAGTATCCTAACGGTTATATGTCACTTTGATGTTTACATTATTTTGTATTGATTTAACACCGTCATCTGTATTCCTCTCATTTCTCATATTTGTATCTTGATTTGTTAACCTGCCTTTTTCAATTTAAACTTCGAAATAACTACGGTATCTAAATATCACATTTCAATCTGTATCTTTGTTATATTAAATTACTGAATTTGTTATACGCCTTATGACCTGTTTTAATGATAATTGTTAATGATATTTTCATGAATTGATTTTTGTCAATTAAGAAATTTAAATATCTGTTTAAAAATCAGGACATTATTGTTTTTGAAAAGTATCATCAGCTTTATGGAGCATATTATTATTATTGGAAATTTTATTAGAACTCATATTTATTATTTTATTTTATTATATTTAGGAAGTTTGTTGTTATAATAGTCATAGACATTATGTGTGCTTTATATCTGTCTCATATTAATGTACCATGAGATATTTCTAACCTGTTTTGCCCTAAACAAAATGTCAGATGCCAGTTGTCAGATAATGACATCCTTTTTATGTTATCAATGATAATTAATAATAGCTGATTATTTTATTGTTTTGAGGATGTTGTGTATAACAATTAGAAAAAGCAAGTCTACTTGATGAGACACTGAAGATTAGTATATGTTATTAGTGTAATATATAGAAATAATAAAGAGAGAGGTGTGTGTTTGTTTGGGGGGGGGGGGGTGCTATGAATTAGATTGTATATTGTTTAGTTTGATCCATATGAGAATTGTCACAGTACATGTATATGTGAAATACATGTAGAGGGTCATTATGTTTTACAATACTGCTGATTTATGGGGTATCTATGCCATACATTATTTTGTTTGAAAGGCATATTGAAATTAATTAATATTTTTTAAATTGATAAGGAATATTTTAAATTACTTTAATATCAGTCGTAAATGTAATAACTTTTATGCTGTTCAAGTGAAATACAAGTGTATATGAAATGTCACCCAGAAGTAAATGTAGCATGTTCTATAGGCCATAATTTCCCAGGACCTGTGCTAAATTGCTGGCAAGCGTTTACTGCCAATTCAGTGAGTCTGTACATGCTCTATCAGTATAATACTATATACAGCCTTCAACCTTAAGGAACTACTGGTTTAGCAATTTCTAAAATATCAACGGTAGACAATCTCCATTTTTGAATTCCATCGGATTTAAATGAGGCCCATCAAAAGAGTCTGCCAATCATGTATAGCCTGTTTATATCATCTGCAGAAAACAGCAATTGTTGCAAACTTTTCAATTATGGTAGTCATAAATATTGAATGGTTTTCAATCATTTTTGGACTTATAATCCATTTAGAGATTCAACTTCCATAATAGCGTAGTTCACAAGGAATTTATAATATCTCAAATGGTGACCATATTTAGGGCCCTTTTACAACAAATTCTACAAGCTAATTCCAGCTCTGATGTTCTGCATTTTTTTTTTATATATATATTATATATATATTGTAAATTAAGACTTTTAGTCAAGTCAGATCTAATTATGACATTTCACTTGTTATATAAGGCTGTCTAGATCTATATAGAGAGGGTTTGAAATCACAATGTGTGTGATAGTAAATGTAGTTTCTTGTCAATATCGAGGTCATTGATGTTTTGTAATAGATATTAATCTTTGTGTTTTGATAATCTATGCAATTATATTCCATCCATACCATCCACGGGGTAAAATATAGATGATATGATATATAGAATTAATTATGAAATATCCATTTCATTCCTACAAATGGAAACCACTATTTTAATTTCAAAAATTTCATACTTTAGGAACTTTTGAAAATGAAAGAAAATTTGATATTGTATTTTAAACATATCAAAATATGTGTGTGTGTGTAATATTGCATATTGTTTATTTATGTGAATATTTAGGCCCCTCTGTTTAATCTGTTTTGTTTTAGAAATATACTTTTTTCTTCTATGCAATTATATTCCATCCATAGGGTAAAATATAGAATCCAACGAAAATTCACTATAACATATTTTTTTCAAACCTAAAAACAGCAACCACTATTTTTTCAAAAAGTATTATGCTTTAGTAACTTTTAAAAATAAATAAAAATTTATATATTGATATTGTTTTTTATCCAAACGACTTGACAGCTGTCCTTGTCAGGAACTCTGTCCTGCATCACTGACATGGGGAAACCATGTCGGAAAATCACAAATTTTTATTGTACTGACCCCAAACTCCAAATATATTAAATAATTGTGACGTTTTTGTTAAAATTACCCATAAATAAGTTATATCATAGAACTAGAATACATGTAGTATAATGTCTTGCATATCAAAAACCCATTCAAAATACATGCCATGATCCAACAACAGGAGAGAGAAATGGGGTTGAATGTCCAAACAACTCAAACAAGGTTGATTTGGGACAAGCACTGTATCTATATTTCAATAATTTTATTGCATGCAAGGGTCTTTAGCAGTGAGAGGAACTGGAGAACCCATGAGGTTAGGCCTTAAATCAAAACCACAACTCAATATAGTAGCAGGCATGTTAGACCACTCTGCTTTTCCTTACCCTATGATTTGAAGTCGTTATTACTATGGTCATGGGATAAGGAAAAGCAGAGTGGTATTACAATCACTATGATATTTTAGTAAATATATGGTGGCCCATAAAGGCCACAGTGTTGTTTTGTTTTTTTTAAGCAGCCAACATTTTCATCATACACATCAGAACGCAACTTCTTGGGTTATGGGTCTATCCTGATGCAATATGTGAAATATGTACCAATTAAAGATGCTCACTAAAGACATTTATTCGCATGCTAAGCCAATACCAACTCTCTTGTCCATCAGTGGGCTTAGATATTGATACGATTACAAGGGCGGATCTAGTGTCTGTGTGTGTGTGGGGGGGAGGGGGGGCACCCAGCACATGCCCCCCTCCCCCAATCTGGATGTTTGACAGAAAAAGTCCAGTTATAATTCATTATTTTATTCCTTGTCAAAACATCAACCACTCATAAGTTTATAATTTTTCTCAGAATAAAGTAATTTGACAGAAATTTTCAAAGTATTGATCATATTTCATTATCTATTGTTTGAACTATACTATTCAAAAAAAGTAGGGGATATTTGATTTTTAAGTGTTATTAAAGTCACCTAATGAAACTGACGAAGAAACAAATGACAAAATTAAATGAAGTTCACATTCATCGATTTATTCCAAATGATCGTTAGACTAAGTAAGGCACAGACTGACCATTATAAGGGTAAAATGATACCCGGGGTCAAACAGCAAAGTTACCACAGCATCACAACCAAGTCAGTAACGGGTAAATCCTCCTCTGTTTGCCAAACAAGCATTGATCCGACGTGGCATACTCCTAATGAGACGTCTAAGGTCATTTTGGTCCAGATTGTCCCATTCCTGTTGCAACGCAGCAGCAAGTTCTTGGACATTGGCAGGACGTTGTTGACGTTGACGTAACCTCTGTCCAAGCATGTCCCAGACATGCTCGATGGGGGAGAGGTCGGGACTCAGTGCTGGCCAAGGTAATGTGGTGATGTTCTGTTGTTGGAGGTAACCTGTAACGATCCTGGCCCTGTGACATCTTGCGTTGTCATCCTGGAAGATGAAACGGCGGCCATGACGTCGTGCGAACGGCACAACATGGACTGCCAAGATGTTGTCCCGGTAGTACTGGCCTGTAACACGCCCTGCAACAACATGTAAAGCCGTTCTTCCAGCAACAGTGATGCCTCCCCACACCATAACAGAACCACCCCCAAATCGATCATGTCTGATGACGTTAACGTCTTGGAAGCGCTCGTTTCGACGACGCCACACCCTCCTACGTCGGTCCAAAAAATCAACAGTGAACCTTGACTCATCTGAAAACATCACATTGCTCCAGCGTCGATTATCCCAGTGTTGACGATCCCTACACCAACGACGTCTTGCCTGAATGTGATGATCTCTCAAACAAGGGATCACGCGAGGACGTCGGGCGCGAAGGTGACCCCTATGCAGTCGATTCCGAATCGTCTGGCCACTCACTCTCACACCAGTGTCTGTTTGAAGACGAGCGCTGATCTGATTTGCTGTGATGACACGATTTCTCAAGGCCAAGGTACGGATAAATCGATCCTGGGCTTGAGTTGTCGCCCTTGGTCGACCTGAGCGTGGTCTGTCCTGTACAGATTGTGTATCACGTTATCTGGACCATAGCCTGCTTATGACAGACTGAGAAACATTCATCGTCCGCGCCACAACCGCCTGTGTTGTGCCGATCTGTAGCATGCCAAGGGCACGTAACCTTTCATTTTGGGTAAGCCGACGCATATCAAAATTTGTTTTCTGGTCACTAAAACAATTAAACTGATGTTTCCACCCTGGAATTCAATGCCACAATGACTGTAACATTCAAAGTCAGAGTCGTGCAAATCTTGGGTTGGACCCCCATGATGATCCCAAGCATCACCTGCATTCCATGCGGTAGCTATTGGTGCGTTTGGGCGTCACATGTAACTGGAAATGTTTCTTCTGTTAGGTTCTATAGTGACTTTTTTCGTAGTCATTTGCATATTTTAGTATTATGCCCCCAAAATCAAATATCCCCTACTTTTTTTGAATAGTATATTATAGAAAGAACGACCAGCTCTTTATCTAAATCTTACATAATGCATCATTAAATGCATTCACACAATTAGTTAAAAATAACTGAAAACAAAACCATGATGGACAGGATGGAGCCTAGTTCTATATACCTCTCCGTGTATGAAAATAAATCTACAGAAATAAAAAACACATGTGCATTTATGAGGGAATCTACGAAAATTAGTCATTCATTTACCAAAGTATTATATACTCTTTTAAAAAAAAGTAGGGGATATTGAAATGCAAATACCTATGCAGGTTATGATATGATAAATAGTCATGGACACTTGACATGCTTTGAGAGTATGTTCACAGATGAAGAACTTATCGCCCCAACAGAACCACTGAGCTGCATGTGCGACACACAATAGCGCCATACACGTCTGAGGGGTTCATTGTCAAATTTGAAATTTCAAGGAAGGGTTGATAAAAACTGCCACTTGCTGGTTTATCCTATTCATGTTTGCTTTCCTATTGATTCTTGCATAAGATTTACTGTTTAGCGTATCTTTGCTTTAGTGTGTTACTTTTAATTTGATCGCGAGGCGTGTTCTTCGACGTCAACGTCAACCGACAACACTGCCAGAATTGTGTGTCAGATTGCCCCAAATCATGATTGGACGGTTGATTAGGAGCATGCCACGACGAATTGCTGAAGGTCTGAGGATTGGTGGAACAATTACTCATTAAGACAAAAATCAAAAATGTTCATTTTCACTTTTGACAGTGTATCTCTTTGCGAGTGAAATGGGGCCGTCAGATAAGCCGCCCATATGAACTGTTTATGTTCATGTGTAGGCAATTGGCCTGTTATTAACATACACTGGTTACCTCTAATAAAACAGCAGTGCATTACCACAGTTTTGTATTGTTTCTGAATATCCCCTACTTTTTTGAAGAGTATATACTAGTTTTTCGACTAATCGTCAAAATGGGAATTAAAATATCAGTCGAGTAGCTTTGTGTCTAATTGTAGAAAGACAGCCGACACAAGTTTCACATGAATCAAATCACTATCACATCCTAAATTCACTTGCTTTGCTAGTTTGCTAGTAGAGCATTTAAACGTGCAATAAAGTGAAACAAAGGCCATAACTTAAGAAGAAATTAATGGAAATAGGCTTAAATAGGATTCTTCATCTCAATAATGTAAACAACATGTATCAATTTCAAAACAATCAGATGATAAAAGTAGTATGTCGAGTTACTAACGGACGGAGCGACGACAATATACGACCACATTTCCATGGGTGTATAAAAACGCATATTTTGACTAATTTAAATGACGCATATAAATTTCGTACATATCAGATGATAACTTTCGTCATGCGAATGGTCACAAGGTTCCACAAAGTTAAATAACTCTAGACGTAATTATTGGAAATTGCTGAAATGGTTAGAGTATTTACACAGTTCAACAAACTGAAACAAGGGCCATGTATGGAAATTGCTGAAATTTAATAGGCTTCTTCGTTTCACTAATCTAAGTGATGCATACAAATTTCATACAGATAGGATGATAACTTTTGTTGTTAGAGCGATCACAAAGTGAAACAGGGGCCATAACTTTAGGCATAATTAACGAAAATTGCCTTCGTTCACGAAATTAAATGATGCATATAAATTTCATACAGATCAGATAACTTTTGCCTTTCGAGTGTTCACAAGGTTCAACAAAGTGAAACAAGGGCCATAACTCTAGATGTAATTAACGGAAACTGCTGTAATTCAATAAGCTTCTTCGATTCACCAATATAAATGATGCATATAAATTTCATATAAATAGGCTTCCTCATCTCACTGATGTAAACAACATATATCAATTTCAAAACAATCAGATGATAAATGTAGTCTGTAGAATGTTAACAAGAAATTATGGACGACGGATGTGAGAGAGAGAGAAATGGGGTTTAACGTCCACTCGACACAAACTAGGTCATTTCGGGACTAACATATGGTTTAATTTTATTTCAATAATTCGCTTGCGCGTAGGAGTCTTTAGCAGTGGGAGGAAACCGGAGGACCCGGAGAAAACCCATGAGGTTGGGATGACGGATGTAAGAGTATAAAAAAAACCAAACACATTGAATGTTATAAATATTTTTTTTATATCAATGAATGATTATTATTGGAGAAGACACCAACAGAAAGATGAAAGGCATATAGCATTCTAATAATTTAATTTATCATACAAAATATATAACATATAAACAATGAACATTTACACATCAAAATACCACCAAATATACACACTCAGTATTGATATAAGTATTCTGGAACAATTAAAAAAAATATATATAATATATATCTTTTTATAACATACAGTAAACAATATAATCCTTGATACAGACTATTAGAGCTTTTCTCGGTTACAGTCAATTTATTTTTGAATAAAGTAAATCATAAAAAGGTGTTGATACTAATTAACTTAGCTTGCATCAAATAATGACTAGTACTTATATAACAAAGGAAGAGTTAAAATTTCTCCCAGTAGACCCATATAAAAGCATTTTTGGTGTTGTTAAATCTACAAAATATTAATATCATCCCAGCAGACGACCCTCTGGGACAAAATGGACCAACAAACCATGCAATAATAAGTTTTGAAAGTTCTTAAATAATAATTTGGATTTCAAATCCATGTTATGTTTTTTAAAAATTAAAGGTCATAATTGGCCCCTCGACTTCTACCTACTTACTCATAAAATGTAGATTATATCAAGATAATAAGAGTGACTGATATTTATTAATATTTATGTTCACTAGATTATATGAAGATGTCATCTGTATTGCCACACACACTTATTCACTTTACTGATATTTGTTATTTATTTCTTGCAATGTCTGTTCAAATTGTCTTGTCCGCAGGTTTGTCTTATTAGGTTTGGTTTTGTGTTTAGTGCAGTCCTCCTGCACTTAGTATTAGCACTATATTGATAATGAATGACTGATATAAACTTGATATAACAATGGTTACATCATAAAGCATGAATAATAATATGCATGTAAGAAACGGGCAAATGATATCAAACTAAAACTATTGGAAACTGCATGCAATTAACAAATTGAGTTTCTAGTAAATACAGGAAACAAATTAGTTTGCTATATTGAGACCACCAATTTTTCTCTCATTTGTATTCCCAGAAATAATATTACTGTAATATAAAATTATGTCAACTTTCACATGGAGATGTTTCAGGCCTGATACTTATAATTAGATACAACTCTTCTAAGCTCATCAATTAATATTCCTTGATAAGAAATATGGTTTCTTGGGTACTCAATAATATATTTTAAGCAGTGATTTCTAGTGATAAAGTTTCTAGACAATAGTTTTATAATGTGACCATAAATATTTCCCACACTGGTGTAGGATTGAAATAGCAAACTACACACAAAACCTACAAACTATACAATATTTAATGTATTACAATATTTTCATAAAGAACCACAACAGTTTTCATTGCTTTCAAAATTTCACGCATGCCATTACAAATTTTGGTTTTTATAATAATTGCTATAAAATAATAGATGTTTTTTTTAGATAATATTCAGGTTACTTTGAGTTTGTTCTTTGTTCCCCATATACAAACATAGTTTGAGTTAAAACTTCTTGAATTTTCTTATATCTTTCAACAAAAATATCATTTGTTCAGCTCAGCAGATTACATGAACCGAAGTCAATTTGTTTAAAAACAAAAACATTGTCACTGTGATCAAGTAATGTTTCTTATAGAATTATTTTTATTAAAACATAGTTTATAAATTGGTTTTTGATAAACAAATGCCTTTTTATAGTAAGTAAATGCCTTTACAGCACATTATTTGGTTATATGTGTTTAAACTGTACAATATACAACCTTTACAGACACAGTAAATTCAACATCTATACATTATATACAATTAGTACATTTACAATATCCTGAAAAATTCATCAATGTTTACTGATGATAAATCTTTCTAGATCAGATTCAGTACAACCTAATGAGTGTAAGCAATATACTGTATATTGCCAATTAAGTAACAGAGCTATCAAGAAAGGTTTGGTTGCAACAAACTGTTATAGATCCCAGAAATAGTTACAACCTATATCAAGTTTATATCATGATCGCAAATAAATATCCAAACTTTCAATAACAAGCCAACAGTGAGGCTGATGTCCCCTGCCGAAATCCCAAAATAAATAGATGACACATATTAATTAATTGCACATTTATCTTTTTCAAAAGTATCGAGCAATCAAACTGATGATCAACTATACACTAAGTTCATCAATCTCTATCAGATATAATATGAAATTGCTTAGCTCTGCTTAGCTTTAATGGGAAATGTTATTCATTGAACTCAGTCAAGATGTTCACTTAATGAACATCTACATCAAGTTTAAACATTCTATCTCAATTAAAAGCAGAGTTGTTATGTTCCACAGTCTTGACCAATCAAATTACTTATCGCACCTTAGCCTAAGCAGAAAATTCTCATAATCGACTTAGTCAGGGTAATTATATAATGAATCTATACTGAAGAGTTTCGTTGGTCACACTTAATTATAACCAAAGTTATTGTGCCCCAAAGGATAAACCAATCAAATTGTTTCCCTCTGCTTACCATAAGCAGACAATGTTCATCTTTGGACTCCATCAAGGCATTCTACTAATACACACCTATACCAAGTGTGAACATTCTAGCTCAATTAGAAGTAGAGTTATTGAGTTCCAAAGTCTCGACCAAGGTATTGATGTGATAAAACTATACACAAAGTTTCATCACTTTCACTCAATTAGAACTAAAGTTTTTGTGTCCCAAAGCATCAACAAATCAAATTGCTTATCTCTGCTTACCCTAAGCAGAAAATTCTCATCTTCAAACTCCATCAAGGCATTGACCTAATAAACACCTAGACCAAGACTGAACATTCTATCTCAATTAAAAGGAGAGTTATTGTGTCCCGAAAAGTGTAACGGACGGACAGACCCATTTTAATAGTCCCCAATTAAAACAACAATAAATTTGTTACCAAAAACATTACATCTTTAAACATACAGCAAGAAAAATATTATTGGTCAATCAGCAAATGTTTACACACATGCCATTATATGTAGAACAATGATAAATGAATAAGTACTAGTGATAGCTGGTGTTACCAATTCAAATTTTACTTCTTAGAGATCATTTATGAAAATGTTGCTTCCTATTTTTTTGAAGATTGTTTTCTTTTTTTAAATTTTAAAGAAATTAATCCAACATTGCTCAGATCCAACCAGTAGACTAATTATAAATCTGAGCTAAAAGTCAAAATGGTTTAGTCTACTGGGTGAGTTATGCATAAGATTTCTATGCCATGATCAGTAGTAGATACTTTTGGGGCATTTCTTTGTGTAATTTGATTTTTACTGGTCATTAGAAATATAGTAAGTTTAGAGGATTGCACAATATGAACTAATTGTGCCTGAGAAAGGTATACTATAGATGTTTCATCTAATACACTTTTGTTTAAAAATATTGAATGTTCAAAATTAATTAAAATGTCTAATTATGCAATCAAACAACAATCCTTCAAACCAAATTTTATATAAAATCCCATACCATTTATTACAAATATGTGCTCGAATCACAAAGCCATTATTTTAACAAAGATATGAGAAATAAGCAACTTGTTACAAGAATTAAAATATATATTTGAAGCCCTTGATTGTCACACATAATGCTTTTTATCTTAAAAACCAAAATGAAATATATATTTGAGCAAAGTTTTTTCGTTCAAGTATTACGGATTACTTTTCAACAGACAAATCAGCAAGGTTTTTTTGTTGGTGAAAATTATCTTACTCTTAAGTCAGCAATTGTATATTTCAATGCAATATTTAAATTTAAATATAACTGCTTTGACAGTGAGTTTATTACTATATTTCTTTACCCTTTAAGATTTCACCTCCTTTTAAATGATTCCACTATTTAAGTTATGTGTCCCATTTTGAACAATCTGTTAGAAATAAACAAATCTGACTTATATACAAGGTTTACAACAACTAATTTTTTTATCTTTCTAGGTTTACAACCTTTTAGGTTTGTTAATTTCTTTTTTCAGTTTAAATTCCATACCCCTTTTGACAAAGAACAAGGTTTAAAAAAACAACTGAACAACACAATTGAGTAAACAACAGTAATTAAAACAATAATCAATTATCATTGGTTTCATTACTTTAATTAAGTACCATTCTGTCCAATCAAAGATGAATTCACGTAAATTAACATTGGAAAATTTCTGAAAAGAAAGCAGAAACAGGAATATGAGAAAAATTGAAACCTTAATACAGTTAAAATTAATCTTTGAAATCAAGGATCAGATTTAATTATCAGAAGTATGGAAATAATATCTAGATTTAATAATTCACCAATTTGATTATAACACAGATCCTATTTCATTTCGTTTTTTTATAGTTCAAAATTTTGTTTTACTTGTCTTTACTACACTAGGATCGGGAAGAGTTGTTATATTACCGGCATTTTGGTTGAAGTGAGAGATTAACCAATGAAACGGTCTGTTACGGCGAGCTCTTGGCTTTTTGATGCTCGGAACTGTGGCTAAACCACTAGAAACGTCAACGCTGATTGATTAATCAATGTCTGACGTCGTAGGGTCAAAAGCCGCTCGTTTGACCCACTAAAACCAGTCAGATCTTCATGTAGTGGAGGCCATCGAAAGTGTATAAAAAAACGAAATATAGATCTGTATTTTAATCAGATTGATAATTTACTTGTGTGTAGGGGAATTTGGCAGTGAAATGAAACCAGAGGATGCAGAGAAAACCCTAATGTTAGACAGGTGACTCTACTACTTGTAGACTCAACGACAGACCATGTGATTAAAAGCAATGGGTTAGGGAAACGATGCAATAGTGAAATCGTACTTACTATTTTCTCAAGAACAACAAGGACTGATTTTATGTTGTTTGAGATTCACTCCACACCATGAGCAAATATCATCACCAGACCAGGTTCCATTATGAGATCTTCAGGCATATGTTGGTTTTCACAATACATGATGGCCACTGCTTGCTTTCCTGCAAAACAGAGCAGAAGACATTAGACATTTGAATAGGTCACATTTGTATCTGCTATAATTCCTGTAAATCTTCAATTTCAGATGACACAATGCATCATGTAAAATACTTGAATAGCTTTTTAAGATACTGTATATGTGAAGTAAAACAGAGTCTACCAACTATTCATTGAGTGGGTGATACAAATGCCTCAACTAAAATGAGTGAGGATATGTTCCAACATGTGACTGTTATATTTTGATTTTGAATGAGGGCTTTCTCATTCATTGAAATTTACTACTGGCAAGTGGAATACAAGATCTAAATGTAGACCTGTATCCAGGTAATAACCTTAGTCTTATCAGAATTTGTTGAATATCAATAGGCCTCATCTAATGAACATAACCAGCGGCTGCCAGGCAGGATACGCCCACATTTTCGAGAGATGGATAGAGAACAAGCTAACAAGAAAGTGATTTTTCCTACAATCAAGGGCCATAATTCAGGAAATTACAATTCGATATGCGCAAATATCGAAAGGAACTGAATGAACGGCAGCCAATTTGTCTGTCAATTTTGGGCCGATTTTCACGAAATTCGAACTCAGTCGTCCTCAGGGTGTAACGGTGATATAATAATACGTTTTTTTAAATCGGATAAAAATAATTCAGGAAGTTACGGTCCGATATGTGCGAATATCGAAAGGAACCAAGATCTTTGGGTTATAAACTTATATTTCAAGTTTCAACAAAATCGGATAAAAATTGTGACCTCTATAGGGTCCACAACCATGATATAACATATTCTTATGCTATTCCAGAACGAACGGCGGCCATTTTGTCTGGCAATTTTGGGCCGATTTTCACGAAATTCAAAACTCAGTCGTCCTTAGGGTGTAACGGTGATATAATAATACGGTTTTTTAAATCGGATAAAAATTATGACCTCTATAGGGTCCACAAGCTAAAAACGCGATTTTTCGTACAATCAGGGGGCCATAATTCAGGAAATTACGGTCCGATATGCGCGAGATCTTTGGGTTATAAACATACATTTCAAGTTTCAACAAAATCGGATAAAAATTGTGACCTCTATAGGGTCCACAACCTTGATATACCATTTTCTTACGCTATTTGAGAACGAACGGCGGCCATTTTGTCTGTCAATTTTGGGCCGATTTTCACGAAATTTGAATTCAGTCGCGTACCTAGGGTGTAACGGTGATATAATAATACGTTTTTTAAATCGGGTAAGAATTATGACTTCTATAAGGTCCACAAGCTAAAAACGTGATTTTTCGTACAATCAGGGGCCATAATTCAGGAAGTTACGGTCCGATATGCACGAATATCGAAAGGAACCGAGATCTTTGGGTTATAAACTTACATTTCAAGTTTCAACAAAATCGGATAAAAATTGTGACCCCTATAGGGTCCACAACCTTGATATACCATATTCTTACGCTATTTGGAGGGTCTAGAGCACAAGTGATCTAACTACCAACCATTTTAGTTGGTTGTTAGATCACTTGTGCTCTAGACCCTCCATTTGTGAACGAACAGCGGCCATTTTGTCTGTCAATTTTGGGCCGATTTTCACGAAATTCAAACTCAGTCATCCTTAGGGTGTAACGGTGACATAATAGAACGTTTTTTAAATCGGATAAAAATTATGACTTCTATAGGGTCCACAAGCTAAAAACGTGATTTTTCGTACAATCAGGGGCCATAATTCAGGAAGTTACTGTCCGATATGCGCGAATATCGAAAGGAACTGAGATCTTTGGGTTATAAACTTACATTTCAAGTTTCAACAAAATCGGATCAAAATTGTGACCTCTATAGGGTCCACAAGCTAAAACCTGATTTTTCGTACAAACAGGGGCCATAATCCATGAAGTTTCGATCCGATACATGCCAATATCGAAAGCAGCCGAGATCTTTTGGGGACACATCTATATTTCAAGTTTCGTCGAAATCGGATAAGAATTGTGACCTGTAGAGAGTCCACAAACAATTGTGGACGGACGGACGGACAGGGGCGACGGCATAATACGTCCACATGAAAATGTGGGCGTATAAAAATTGTGTATGGATTCTGACACAACAGTATACAACCACACTTCGATGTGGATGCATAAAAATGTCTGACTATACTTTTCCACAAAGTCAGTTATAATTGTACCTGGTATTCTTTTTGTAACATAATTTTCATACTGTCTTCGGTTTAATTGTCTGGTTTCAAGGGTACTCAATCCACTTGGCCATCGTCTTTCATGAGCATTTTCCATTAATTCTGTTACAATATGAGCTGGTGAACCACTGTCAAGTAATGCTCGTTTAATCACAGCCTGTAAGACAGCATCTGGTGTTGATATCATACCACCCCATCTTGTTACTCTAGCCGTCTGTAAATTACTCACCCACCTAAAATAAAAAGAAAATAATTATAGGGTATAATATACTATAAAAAAAAAGTAGGGGATATTTGATTTTTAAGTGTTATTAAAGTCACCTAATGAAACTGACCAAGAAACAAATGACAAAATGAAATGAAGTTCACATTCATCGATTTATTCCAAATGATTGTTAGACTAAGTAAGGCACAGACTGACCATTATAAGGGTAAAATGATACCCGGGGTCAAACAGCAAAGTTACCACAGCATCACAACCAAGTCAGTAACGGGTAAATCCTCCTCTGTTTGCCAAACAAGCATTGATCCGACGTGGCATACTCCTAATGAGACGTCTAAGGTCATTTTGGTCCAGATTGTCCCATTCCTGTTGCAACGCAGCAGCAAGTTCTTGGACATTGGCAGGACGTTGTTGATGTTGACGTAACCTCTGTCCAAGCATGTCCCAGACATGCTCGATGGGGGAGAGGTCGGGACTCAGTGCTGGCCAAGGTAATGTGGTGATGTTCTGTTGTTGGAGGTAACCTGTAACGATCCTGGCCCTGTGACATCTTGCGTTGTCATCCTGGAAGATGAAACGGCGGCCATGACGTCGTGCGAACGGCACAACATGGACTGCCAAGATGTTGTCCCGGTAGAACTGGCCTGTAACACGCCCTGCAACAACATGTAAAGCCGTTCTTCCAGCAACAGTGATGCCTCCCCACACCATAACAGAACCACCCCCAAATCGATCATGTCTGATGACGTTAACGTCTTGGAAGCGCTCGTTTCGACGACGCCACACACTCCTACGTCTGTCCAAAAAATCAACAGTGAACCTTGACTCATCTGAAAACATCACATTGCTCCAGCGTCGATTATCCCAGTGTTGACGATCCCTACACCAACGACGTCTTGCATGAATGTGATGATCTCTAAACAAGGGATCACGCGAGGACGTCGGGCGCGAAGGTGACCTTGTGCAGTCGATTCCGAATCGTCTGGCCACTCACTCTCACACCAGTGTCTGTTTGAAGACGAGCGCTGATCTGATTTGCTGTGATGACACGATTTCTCAAGGCCAAGGTACGGATAAATCGATCCTGGGCTTGAGTTGTCGCCCTTGGTCGACCTGAGCGTGGTCTGTCCTGTACAGATTGTGTATCACAGTATCTGGACCATAGCCTGCTTATGACAGACTGAGAAACATTCATCGTCCGCGCCACAACCGCCTGTGTTGTGCCGATCTGTAGCATGCCAAGGGCACGTAACCTTTCATTTTGGGTAAGTCGACGCATATCAAAATTTGTTTTCTGGTCACTAAAACAATTAAACTGATGTTTCCACCCTGGAATTCAATGCCACAATGACTGTAACATTCAAAGTCAGAGTCGTGCAAATCTTGGGTTGGACCCCCATGATGATCCCAAGCATCACCTGCATTCCATGCGGTAGCTATTGGTGCGTTTGGGCGTCACATGTAACTGGAAATGTTTCTTCTGTTAGGTTCTATAGTGACTTTTTTCGTAGTCATTTGCATATTTTAGTATTATGCCCCCAAAATCAAATATCCCCTACTTTTTTTTGAATAGTATATATCACTGTTTCCGTTGACTTTATTTCAATATCATGGATCTTCTACCTGCTCAACAAACCGGATGACTAAAAAAAAAACTGTTTAATTGTCGGTGGTCTTTTATTATTAGACTGCTTTATAAATGAGGTTTTTTATGACAAAGCAAGTCAACATTGTTTGCTAATTAAAACCAAACAAACTGATGAGATGTTCAAAGCTACTTTATACGGCAAGACACCTAATAAAATGTTCATCTAAATTTGATTTCAGGCCAGTCTAAAGCCTAGGACTCATGAGCGTATTTTTTCGGCAATAGCACCAATTTTTAAAATCGTCCCAAAAAATTGCCTGTGTGGCCGTGTATGGCACCTTCAGCTCAGCGAAACCATTCACCCGATCGAACGCCCGTATCTAGCATGTTAAAATATTTACAGTCGAATATTTTACACTGGCGGCTAATTCGCCGGAAAATCCACTCGTCTGTCTGTAAAAAATCGCTGGCCAATTCCAATCGGCGCGATCAAGTGAAAAAATACGCTCATTTGCTCTTAGCATAAGAAGATGAGGTATCTATAAATTCCCTCTTTAACAATTTCTCAATAGCATATGTCAAGGAGTTCAAAGCTTACCGCAACACGATTCTCTGAATTATCAGGAACTCAATCTGCCGTTACCTTATACAAAAAGAAAACTCACCGAACGACATCTTCATTTTCCATTGTCGTCTGTATTTCACGTATCCTAGGATTGGATACTCTCATCGATCTTAAATATTCCTGATAATATAAAAAAAATATGATTAATGTAGAAATTCAAAGACAATAGGTATAAAGTTTATACTGACACTATGTTAATAGCACAAGTGTTAAAAAAAACTCTTATAGCAAATACAAGGATTTGACATCCAACATGAATGAAGACAGAACACCAACTATTTGTTTACACTGTTACAGATCTATTACTTGCCAACTACTGTGTTGCTTACCTACCTTAGTTTGGTCAAATATTTTTGGAAATACGATTTGAATATTTTGAGAGACCGCCTTCGAATATTGTAGGCAAATGTCACGTGAAGGTTATTTTATGTAAATAATTACTTTCACAAGCTGTATTTCTCTCTTCTGCTCGTTTAATTGTAACTTCTGTTCTGCCATTTCACTGTGCATATCTTGCATTTTATGTTGCATCTGTGTCATGGCACTTCTTAATTCTCTTACACAGTTATGGTCCTACAAAGAATATAATAATAGTTATTCTGCTTGTTCTAGTTCAAACAATGAAACTAAAATAGCTCAATATGATTTTCTTTTCTCAATATCTGTATTCAGTTGGGATTAACAATTTCTTTATTGAGTAAATAACATTTACTTACTTTTAATTCATCTTTTGGTATTATCAATCCACACCCACTTTCACACTGTACAGGTTTTTTCGGATTGTGTTCACACTCTTGTATGTGTGTCTGTAACATGTCGAGTTTAACTACTGATGTACAACCATAATTAGCGTTATCGCACGCTATCATAAGACGGGATAACAGATTACGTAAAATTCTTGGAACAGGTTTTAACTGGTTGGGCATAATAGGACTTCTATCTACAGGACATGTTGGTTGTCGCGTCAACCACTCGTGAATACAAGCTGCGCAAAAAGCGTGTTCACACTGAGGAGACTGGAAGATAAAACCAAATATCATATTAAACTAAAGTATGGACTATAAAATCAGAAAATCTTTTCCCCGCATTTAGGAAGTACATGTAAGTACTTTATTTGTCTGAAGCAGTGGTAGTGAGCTTTATCCGTTTATTACCCACTGCTACATCACTGCATCAAATATAGCTATTCTGTTTGAACATTTCTATTGGTTTGTATACCAAGTCTGCTTGTTGACTAATAAAACAAAATGAGAGAGAGAGAGAAAGAGAGAGAAAGAGAGAGAGAGAGAGAGATGGGGTTTAACATCCAATCGACACAAACTAGGTCATTCTGGGACTAACACATGGTTCAATTTTATTTCTATAATTCGCATGCGCGTGTAGGGGTCTTTAGCAGCAGAAGGAAACCGGAGTACATAGAAAATCCACGAGGTTGGACAGGCGGAAACAAAATGGTGACAGTCAAAATCAAGTACAGAAATATCTGTGATAATTTAATTTAATGATGACAGTCAAAATCTGCAAAAATTTGATTTGTCAAGTACAGAAATATCAGTGATAATTGGAATTGACAAGAACAGAAATATCAGAACTTTGAAAGATCTACAGGTACTAAACAACAATTTTTGATAAATAAACTTCTTAAGTATGGTAGTTGATGAGCATGATTGAAATTTTGACTTGTAATCCATGTGCTGAATACTATACATTGTGTAAATGATTCTTGTTATGAGGGAGAAAATCAAGATAAATTTTCTTGGACAACAACGCCATTGACTCCAAACACCCCAGGTTAGTGAGCCAGCATCTTATTCAGCAGTGAGGCAAGATTTGAATAAAATTGATAATATTGAAAATCCACTAATACCTGAAGCGGATCTTCTAAAACACAAGAGCATATGGGACATATTAGCTCTTCATCAACTTCACCTTGAAATCGGTGTACCTCATACCCCATACCACCTAAAAAAAAAGATAATGGAAATTATAATGTACATGTGTGTTTACACTCTCTCTGTGGGAAAAACAAAGAATTTACAGTGTAAATGTCTGATTACAGTAATGCAGTATGCCAAAGCTGGTAATCTCAAATGCTTGGCATTACCGTTAAATCAACAGTACCGTAATTGTATCCATAGAATTGTTTCTTCTGTATTACAGGTCTACAGTATGTTCGATGACGATATCTAACTAAACCATTTCACCCTATGATCTAATACATAACAAAATTTTGGTAAAGTAACATGATTTGATTATGGTCATTTTGAGACTAACATATGGTTCAGTTTTATTTCAATAATTTGCTTGTGCATAGGGGTATTTAGCAGTGTGAGGAAACCAACGAGGTTGGACAGGGGAATCAAAACCAAGCCACTTGACTCAACAGGTTGCAATTATTAACCGATTTTGTTCAAAATCAGCATATCAATCATTTTAATAATAGAGTTGTTCTTATTTATATTGTTCCAACCCCCAGGAGCAGAGCCAGGTCCAATATTTTTGTGTTTTATCCCTTATATCGCAAAGACAGCATCTATTTATTTTGGTGCATGCATGAGATTAAGTATTTATGACTTAATTTTAACCCCCCAGTACTGTCCCCATTTATATATTAAAAAAAATTTGGGTCCACTTCACTAAATCCCTATATCTAAAAAGTAAGGCAACTTAGTAAGCTAGTTGATCGACTTATCAACGCGTTGCCATTAGTAATAGATCGTGGATTTAAGTAAACGTCCTTAAATTACTGTTCGTACATGTATACCTTATAAGTACTCTTCCAAGCATAGCACGTAGCATGAGATACTCATACTCATATGTACCAACTGGTTGACAAACAGTAAGCTCACTTATTAGCCTCGTCACTCTAGTCTCAAAAGGAAATAGAATAGTCTGATGTGGTAAGTAAAATTGTTTATATTATCACCACAGTATTGGGGGAGGGGGGGGGGGTATTTTTAAATCAACCTGATTGCAACTGGTCTATACCATCTTTCAAAATACCTGATCTGTCAAAGTACCATGTAAGATGGAGAAACGAAACGGAAAGAATGAATGGAGTTTGTACTGACTATTAATTTGAAAGCTATATAATACTAATAATTTAGACCTGTGTCAAAAAGTCTTCCTGTATAAAAATTTATTAAATGTGAATAAATTTGTTGATGAAATTTGTAAACGTAACTGATATTTCAATTTGTGTAGTCAGGAAATTGGTCGACATTCAGGTGAGCGGCAGGACTAAATGTCATTTCGGTCCTGCGACGTTTCGGACTCGGACAGGTGATGTTTCGGACTCGGGAATAAGTTGAAAACAAAGGTTAAACTGAACAAAACTGTCAAATCAATCTATAATAAACCAAAAGTGATTTTATAAAAAAATAGCATGCAGGTAAAATATACTGCTTGCAATCAAGTACAGCATGTGGGATGGTGGATCACACACGGTATAGATCTCTCAGGGAACTGCGAAATGTTGTTCCGTTTATGAAAAGAAGCTGATGAATTTATTAGAAATAGGCCAATTAAAAACACGAAAGAAAATATTAACATGAAACACGTGGTTATTAAAAGACACTACCAAACGATAAAACGTAGCACTATTCGGTAAATTAGTGAGTACAAAGAAAACTCTTTTTAGAAAATATTAGAATTGCAACGATCAAAGTGGGATAATTAAAGCTGATTAACCGATAATCCCTATGTTATTGTAGTATGCGCAAAGGAAAAATGTGAGTTGTCAATCAGCTATAATGACGCCGGCCGTGTGTTGATTCGATTATTTCGACTCACGTTACTAAAAGATATTTAGGCTTTCACAATTATAAAAACATTAGCAGTATTACTAAATATACACTCGCTCATGAAACAAAACAAAATTGAACAAGCAGTGTAAAATCAGTGTTATCTTTTAATTATTCATCAGAGTCCGAAATATGTCACCAGATAGAGTCTCAAAAGTGGTCAAGTAAGTCTGAAAAGTCTTCAAGTAAGTCTGAACTGTCGTCAAACTGAGTCCGAAAGGTCGTCTGTGTTGAGTCCGAAATGACGTGCTACAAGTGGCAGGCGCTCGTGAGCGATCGCTCGCTATATAAAACAATGACCGTTGTCCTGGTGGTAATTATGGAATTATTGCATAAATCGATCTAATGATGAATTGGAAATAGACTATTTTTCAGATTCATAATCAATAAATGAATAAGACAAGTACTACTTCAGTACCGTCTACCGAGTTGTGGGTACTGTACAAAGCATAAATTCCAGTTTGAGGATGTCATATTCGCTTGATTTGGAAAATCATATCGCATTTCTTAAAATTGGTACAAAATAAAGTTATTTATTATGACATCAAAAGATAACCTCTTGTTTATCTATTTATTTTATCTGATCTTTTATCAGCTCTATTTTTGGAATACAAACGAGGCCTAAGAAGGGTCGTTGTCTCTTGTTAACCCAAATTCCAGTTCAATTTGGCAAGCATTTCATTGTGTATTTTCTACCGCAAGGCTTCTCTCATACTTACAAATTAAATGTATCCTCCAAACGTACGTTAATGTGAGAACAACAGGTTTTCAAACCAAATATTTCTCGCATTTGTCAGTTCTTTTCAGAAACTTCCGCCGTAATGATAGGTAATGCGCCGAATCAGTGCTCGGTCGTCCCTTATCGACAATTTTCAATTACCCCTAAGTACCACTAGAATTTCCAGTCAACAAACTCGGTCGATGGTTGGGCTAAAATTTGGGAATAGTTTGTTTGACTGAAATAAAAAACGCACTAACTCAAATATGATAACATCGTTTTTTGTCTATTTTGATTATTTTCCCCCAAGTTCAAATCTGACAGTTGAAGTCACAACTTTATTGAGATTTTCCTTCCAATAGCAATCCCCTAAACAACGTGTTGACCTCTCTTTGCGAGTAAGGTCGTCATCTAGGGTTAAGGGTCAACGACTGACGTCATCAACTGAAAACAATGGCCGTACTAATATAAACAACTTGAATTAAGTCTGTGTCCGATGCATAAAACTGATGACAGCATAGTATCTAGTCGCTTCGGAATAAAAACAACCGTGTGGAGGGATTTATAGAGGAGTAGGCTACATGTTGTTATGTTAGTTACTGCCACCACTGCTTAATAAAGTCAAGCTTTACGTTTTTCCTCGTCATATTGAGCGACTGGATTATTCGACTGGATTATTCGACTGAATTATCTGCTTGATTTTTTTTTCGACCGGATTATTTGACTGTTTTTTTCGGCTATCCCCGGCCCTAAATACCTAATTATCAGACTACTTTTGCCCCATAAATTGAACTTGAAACTATTTGGCAGGGGAGGGAGGTGCAAGCCCCCGGCTCTTTTACAGCTATGGCTATGGGTATGACTGAACTACTCGGTATTATCTTAGTTCACTGCAATTCCTGCTTATTATTGAACGGCTGTTTTTAACTTCTCATCATATAACTGTCAAAAGCACATTTTGTCAACTTGATCTGGTATGAAGACCCAACTTGATCTGGGATGTGGATTTATCGACAGTGATATTCGTCTAGTTTTATTGACTGAGATATTCGACTTGTTTTATTGACTGTGATATTCGACTGGTTTTATCATGGTATTATAAGGTCCATGGTTTTATCGACTGAGCTATTTGACTTGTTTTATCGACTGAGATATTCGACTTATTTTATCGACTGAGATATTCGACTTATTTTATCGGACTGGTTTTATCGACTGAATTATTTGACTCGTTTTATTGACTGAGATATTTGACTGGCTTTATCGTCTGGATGAGGCCACAAGAAAATAGTTTTATTGACTGGGATATTTGACTTTTTTCGACAATAAAATCAGTCAAATAATTCAGTTGACAGAACCAGTCGAATAATTCAGTCAACAAAACCAGTCAAATAATCCAGTTGAAAAAAAAAAGTCAAATAATCTCGTCAATATCCCAGTCGATAAAACCAGTCGCTCAATATTAAGTACCGGTGGCAGTGAGCTAAGGTAATATAGAATAGCCCAATCATGGTCGTAGCCAGGGGCTTCACCCCCCGCCCCTCCCAACTACTTTAAAGTCAGATTTTTCGGGCAAAAGTCTTATGATCTAGGTATTTAGTTGATACATGTACTAAACGGAGAGTAATGTTTTTGGCCCGTCATCTAAGTGAATAGAATCCTACATAGGCCTGTAGTCAGGGGCTGGGGGTAATGGACGAGTCAGGGTTTTTTTTGTGACCTCGTCAAGTCGAATATTTCAGTGTATATTTCAGTCGAAAAAAAGCAGTCGCTTGACTTGATGGTGGAGGACCATACTTTATGAATCACTAATTGGAGTGAACTAAGATAACAATAAGTAGCCTGGAGCCATGGTGGCTAAGTGAGTAAGACACTGGCTCGCTAGCCTGGAGGTTTGTTCCTGGTATTGGCTGAAAAAGTTCCTCAGGATTTTCCGGGTGGTTTCCCCCTGTCAGTGGGGCAGTCGTTTGGATGGGATGAAAAACCAAGGTCCCATGTACACATTGGCATGCATGTAAAAGATCCCCTGTATGGCATATGCCTGACTTTATTAGCTCAATCGGTGCACAACAGTAGGACGTTAAAGCCCATTTTATTTCATTGAGTAGCCCTTTCATGCTCATAACACGGTTCCACTTTCAGGGAATGTATCTGGTCGAGTGTGTTCTCTAAGTATCGGAAATGAATACAGATTTTTCGAATAATCTTCAACACTTTATTTCAAGAGCAAATAAATAACAGCAACAAGTAAACAACTTATAACTTCCTATAAATTGGTCCTCCAACTGGTATATAGGTTCCCTCAGCTGGTCTCTCCAACTATAATTCATCTTACATACATTTTTCTTTTTATATAAATTAGTTACTATGAAAGTATTGACATAAACATATAATTATTGAAGGATTAAGTCATTTAAACAATAGTAAAAGAAACTTAACAGACCACCCACTTTAGTTATTTAAATCGACTAACAAATTAATTGCTGTCTGCTTCTAATGACTAACCAAGTGAACCAAGATCAATAAGTAGCCTGGAACAACAGTGACTAAGTGAGTAAGGCGCTGGTTCGCTAGCCTGGAGGTCGCGGGTTCGTTCTCGGTATTGGCGGAGACAGTTCCTCAGGATTTTATCCAGGTGGTTTCCCCTTGTCCATAGGGCAGGACGGAGGGTGTGACAAAAACTACAGCTGTCTAGTCTTTTGGGTGGCATGAAAAACCAAGGTCCCATGTACACATTGGCGTGCATGTAAAAGATCCCTTGGCAGTTGGAATTCAATATATAAGAGTAGGCTGTAGCGCTACTGTCGGGGCAAAATTTCCCTTGTAGCACACTGTATGGCATATGCCCATCTTCATTAGCCTAGTCGGTGCACAACAGAAGGATGTTAAACCCCATTTCACTTCATTATGTAGCGGGAGTGATTAAGTGGGTAAGACGCCGGCTCGCTAGTCTGGAGGTTACATGTAGGTGTTCGATCCCTGCATTGCCCGAAAGAATTCATCCAGATTGTCCGGTGTGATTCCCCTTTGTCAGTGATGCAGGACAGAGGGCCTGACAAGGTTAGCTGTGTAGTCATTTGGATGGGATGACAAAACGAGGTCCTGTGTACACATTGGAATAAACGTAAAAGATTCCTTGACAGGTGGAATTCGATATAAGAGTAGGCTGTAGTGCACTGTCCAGACAAAATTTCCCTCATGGCACACTGTATGGCGTATGCCCGTCTTCATTAGCCCAACAGTAGGATGTTAAATTTCATTTCATATTATTAAGTAGCCCTTTCATGCTCATAACATAGTTCGACTTTCAGGGAATGTATCGCGTGGAGTGTGTTTTCTAAGTATTGGAAATGACTACAGATTCTTTGAATAGATCTTCAACACTTTATTTCAGGAGCAAATAAATAACAGCAACAAGTAAACAACTTATAACTTATAACTTCCTATAAATCAGTCCTGCAACTAAGTTGGTCTCTCCAACTACTGTATAATTCATCCTACATACACTTGTCTTTTTATATAAATTAGTTACTATGAAAGTGTTGAAATAAGCATATAATTATTGAAGGATTAAGTCTTAAGCCATTTAAAACAATAGTTAAAGAAACTGAACAAATCAAACACTCTAGTTGCCAGCCTGTCATAATTTATATGGAGTGACAAATTAATTGTTGTCTGCTTCTAATGACTAACCAAGCATTAATGAATGTTAAAATATAGATTTGAAATTAAAAATAGAATTAAACAATAATAAAATAACATATGACCTATACATTAGTCATGTGTATCCACCTTAAAATTATTTCAAACAAAAACATGACCCCATGTTTTAATCATTAATACAATCAAAATCCTTATTTTTCCATTATTCAAAATAACATAATCTATAACTATTTTCACGATAATAATTTCTATTCCTGTACAAAGGATTCCTGCTGTAAGGCCTAACATGTCTAAATCTGTGATCTTGAGTCTTGACGGCTGGTGAATTTGGCACTAAAACTTGAAACATCTCGCATGGCTGCAAACTTTATCATGGCAATTGGCAGGATGACACCATTAACACAAGGTTATTAAAAAAAGATACATCGTTAGTATCCAGAACATTTTGAACACCCGCATCCTTTTTACTGGAGGTCACAGAAACCTGTACTTTTTGGGCACCCTTCTTTGCAAAAAATTCCAGCTGTCGCTGTCTATCCCTTTGTATTTGGACAAAAGAACGATATTTCTTTTCCGGACTGGGTAATTAATTTTCTGAGAAGTCCCTTTTAAAGCCCATTTAAACCCCTGTTTGAGACTCCAAGACACTGATAGTTGATCAAGATTTCTTATTGCTGCTACTGCTGCTGAAGGAAGAATAAAGTTGATATCCATGCCTTCTTCTTCAATATATTATGTACAATTTGACTAGCAGGGAATGTAGCTCTTCGACGTGTGTTCTCTTAGGATCAGAAATGAATACAGATTCTTGGACTGGATCTTCAACACTTTATTTCAGGAGCAAATAGTGCCCACATAACAGCAACAATTAAACAACTTATAACTTCCTATAAATCGGATCCCCAATTACATGTAGTATATAGGTTTCCTAGGTCTCTCCAAGTAATGATTCATCTTACATAAATCTGACATTTTAACGTGGCCTCGTCCAGACGATAAAATCCCACACATATCTCAGTCGATAAAATCAGTCAAATACTTCAGTCGATGAAACCAGTCGGAAAAACAGCCCATTGAGTAGCTCAATGTTCGTTGCCATAGCTGTAGGAGCCGAGGGCTTGGGCGGGGTTTGGTCCTCACCCGTCGCAGGAGATAATTGTACTTAAGTAGATACTAATATTGTCAGCCCCCACCTCGAAAAGAATAGTCCCTATATATGACCATAGAAACGGGGTGTTGGTGGAATGGGAGGGGCCCTGTGCGTGGGAGCGAAAATACTAGTATCTAAAGTACATGTATCACTTAAGACTTGAAACTAGTTGGGAAGCCCCCCGGCCCCTACCCAATGCCCCCGGATCCTTCAGTTATGGCTACGAGCATGATTTGCTAATGAAGACGGGCCTACGCCATACACTGTGCTATGAGGGAAATTTTGCCCGGACAGCGGCACTACGGCCTACTCTTATATCGAATTC